ATAACAATAACGCAACAAAAATACTTATAATAAAAGTTATAATATTGTGCACAAAATTATTTCAGAAGAGGCTAAAAAACACCACCATTACCTTTCCATGTTCTGGATTGACTACAATTGTATCGGTGGGTTCTTATGTGCGTAATAACTTCAATAGGACACCATTTGTCTATTAATCGCCCTCAATATGCAATTACATCCCTCAGTATGGTACTATTTGATATAACCTCCTGAGATGTGATATGTATACTAGTGAGTGAGTGAGTGAGTTTAGTTTTACGCCGCACTCAGCAATATTCCAGCTATGTGGCGGCGGTTTGTAAATAATCGGATCTGGACCTGACAATCCAGGGGTCAACAGCATGAACATCGTTCTACGCAATTGGGATACGGTGACGTGTCAACCCAGTCAGCGAGCCTGACCACCCGATCCCGTTAGTCGCCTCTTACGACAAGCATGGGGTACTGAAAATATATTCTAACCCGGATCTTCACGGGTCAATCAATCAATCAATCTTTATTTTCTTTGTAGTTGAGGCCATAGGCCCAGGCTACACTTCAGGATTTCAGAGCGCTACATATGTGTATATATAGTTCAGAAGACAATGAGTTAATTTATAAAGTATACAAAAGGAACTATGATATTATTGGCATAGAAGTGAATGTCTAAGTTTCATTGCATTGTGTATATAAATAGCTAGGTTTTTTACAATATATGGATTGCCAGTTGACATGAGCATATTAAACTTATGAATAGTGGGATTCGAAAAAAAGTTATGTGGTAAATACAAACATCTCAGATTTTGATAACATTTACTTACCAAAATAAAATGAAATTCATTTTCAATAAAGTTTTCTTTACATACAAAACATAATCTATTTGATCTGGGTTGATTAATATATCGACCGGTTTCAATTTGGAAGCGGGGTGAAGAACATCTGAATTTAGCAAGGGCCGATCGGAATTTTGAAATTGATACATCTTTTATGTAATATTCAACACTAAATGAGATTTTAAAATAAGAACATAGTGAAAATTTAAGACTATTTACAAGCGATGTGTGCCATTCTTGTTCATAAGTTGCACTTAGTCTAAAACAAATTCTGATATGAATTATCGACATTACATAAATATTGCTGCTGTTCACGGGTCGATATGTGTAATAACAGCATTCGGTATGATACTACATGTATATGTGTAATAACCTCCTTCCTTGTGCTCTTGGGTATGTTAGAACAGCCCTCGGTGTAATAACCCTCCCCAAATGTGATACTGTGCAATGCCCGCCTTCAGGAGGACACCGTTCAATATGAGGTGTTATATCTGACCTGTTCGTTTTGCAAGGTTTGTCGTTTCTCTCCAATTCACCGTTAGGTTTATTTAAGTTCATTACGTTCGCTTTGGCTCCGTACCCGACAAGAGCGGGCAGGATAATTCTGACAGACATAAATCCGATCAATGCAACAGCTCAGATAGAGTTTCAACAAATGGCAGTCGCTGCGTGATCAGGCGATATACTATGACCGTGCTCCGATCTAGGTGATACATGTTTAGGATTATTTCATCATAAGAGAGTATTCAGTTACAGCAAAACCCCGTCAATGCTGACGATACCCGTATCCCGAGAGACTGCCCTGCTTCAACAGAAAATTGTAATGTAGCTTAGGCTAATGCTATATAATTGTTCATAAGAGAGTTGCCCTCAATACAAAGGTTTCTGGAATGAAGGGGTTGCAAGACTAACTGGATTACACGGAAGAGGATTTTGCTTACCTTCCTTTCCTTTCACACCAACCCATAAAAGACCATTTTGTGACCCTACCTATCCTGTGAACTTCCCCATGTGAATAGTGAGTGAGTGAGTCTAATTTTACGCCGCTTTATTTAGCAATATTCCAGCAATATCACGGCGGGGGACACCAAAAAAGGGCTTCACACATTGTACTCATGTGGGGAATCGAACCCGGATCTTCGGCGCGACGAGCAAACGCTTTATGCTATGTTCACACTATCACGATTCGCGCCACGACTGAAATCGTGGTCTTAATCGTGAACTAATCGTGGTGATCCTATCAGATCTTATCAGATCTTGAGGTCAGTCGTGGCAATAGTGTTGATTAAACACGATTAATTATCAATCGTAATCATCGCATCAGATCGTATTGAATCGTAACAAAGCGCAACGTATCGTGTCTAATTGTGCTTCCAAATCGTGGTGATCGGAATCAATCGTGGTTGTGGGTTGTAGTGTTCACTTTGTTGAAGTTCAAGAAACAGTGAAGTCCATGGTCAGTCCATGGTCAGTTGGGCTGTGTATATATAATCCGTCGGGGTCTAATCGTAGCTCAAATCGTGATCACCTCGATCGTGATCGTGAAAGACATCGCGACCACAATCGTATCCTATCGCAACAGAGTGCATCGGTTCGTGATGAACGTATGGGAACGTACCTGCACGGACCACATCGTCCCAAATCGGGGACCCCTATCGCGATGATCGTGTCAGATCGCGACCCAATCGTGGAGTCGAGAGGGACAATCTTATCGAAACGTATGTGATCGTATCTGAAAGGGAGATCAGATCGTGACAAAAACGCATCCAAGCGCACCAAATCGTATCAAAACGTATCGACTCGCATCACCTCGTATCAAAACCAGAAATTTCAGAGAAGTTCCACGATCAGCTACGAAAGGCCAATCGTACGATAGTGTGAACCGAGCATTAATCACTAGGCTTATATGACACTCCTAAACAATCAAACTAAACAGCAGATGTTGTTGTCTTCTTTTCTGATGTAGATATGAACAAACATATTATATAATATATATGCTGACCTAATCGTATCGACATGCAGTATGCTATATACACATTACAGTATCAAATACCGGTCAAAATGTCGAGTGACATTCGATACAGTATGTGATGAAAAGTTTGTCCATTGAATAAAACTTTCTTTTTCTCAAATGATGAGGATAAATATTGCATGCCTGTTTTCACGTCTTCCGTGTTTTTGCACTTCTTCCGTGTTTTGGTTGAAAATGATGGTTTTCCCAAAACGTCGACATAAACTGAATATTGCTATTGCGCTTTGACTTGGACATGGTCACATGACAGAACACTATATATACATCAATACATGCTACACCCTGTTATTGTGATAACAAGCAGACGGTGGCGTAGGTAGTAGATTAAAGGGGAACTGAATTACCTACAAGGTGAGCGTGTTTTCTGTAATGGTGACATGTTACAAATAATTGTTTAGACTTTATTAGGTTTCTTTAGCTGACGTTTATACCGAACATGTTTAATATGAAAGAATATATAGTATGCACAATTTGACATACTCCTATCATAATTATATATAAGGACACATACTTACGTATACAGTGAGTGAGTGAGTTTAGTTTTACGCCGCTTTTAGCAATATTCCAGCAATATCACGGCGGGGACACCAGAAATGGACTTCACACATTGTACCCATGTGGGGAATCGAACCCGGGTCTTCGGTGTGGCGAGCGGACGCTTTAACCACTAGGCTACCTCACCGCCATTTACGTATACAGGTACGGCGAGTTCGTTGACTAGGTTTTGATGTATAAATATCTGATTGTATCTGAGACAATTACATTGACGCTTCTAGGGAAGTAACCATTTCAAAACATTGAAATAAGAACGACACATGACGCTAGGAGACTCCCTCACAGTAGTTAACTGACAAGAAGACGATATCAGTATAGATTTTAGTTATAAATAAGGTCACAATAATTACGGTTAAAAATGAGTACCGAAAACTCAAATAATTAGGATGTAAAACCAGATTAATGATTCGTTACATATATGAATTTTATCAGCACGAATTGAGATATTTTGTCACTACAAACTGAAACATAAAGAACGTTTGGACTTGAACACAGACACGACATAGCCTAAATACTATTAATGGCGAGTGAACGTATTTGACATACTATTTCGCTCGTTTGAAGTTCAGAAAACGCGAACGGTAGAAATTCACTTTGAAAGTGAAAATCGATTATATGTTTTAACTTACGTTCCTATTGAGTGTGCAGTACGAGATAAGATTATCGCCTCATGTTATTACTTCCGGGAGCAGAGTTTAATCGTGTGATCAGATCACGATTCTATATAGATAATAAGAGAAAGGGTGAGTGGTCCAATCCGCTTTAAATCGTTATATCACGACACTTTATGTTGAACAAAAGATATGGATAAAAATGACTCAAGATGTAAAAACAAAACTAACACATGTTTCGTTTGGGCTGCCAATATTTGAAAATACAAGGCTCTCGGGGGATTATACTGGTTTTAGGTTTCGATCTGGAAATAATACTTATTTATGTCGATTTTAATATTAGATATATGAAATGCTTGGGATTATGTTGAGCAAGGTTCGCTTCAGATGAATTAACGTTCTCGTATTAGAAAGTGTGTAATAGAGACAGAGACAGATGCAAAAGCTCTCATTGCTGCACATCTAAATGCTTTTGGGGAACACTGATAACAAACGGTGCACGGAAGGGGAAATGCTGTTCCCGCAGCTATTATCAAATATCTAGAGCATAATGGTACTTTGGTCGGAACAATGCCTCCCTCAGCAACGCAACTTTCTAGAGTTGCCCCGCCCCACACTGCACTGTATAACATATCATAGCACCTCACAGCAGTGCACTGCAATCTACAATACATTCCTTCGTCCCGCTGAGCCCCGTCCCACACCATACTGCACTATAATACATTGCATCGCATCGCATCGTGTCACAACCAATCACAACCAATCACAACTAATCACCTCATCGATCCGCCCCGCCCCCCCGCCCCGCCCCGCCCAGCCCCGCCCCGCCCCGCCCAGCCCAGCCCAGCCCAGCCCAGCCCTCATCATCGTCTCTACACCAACCCTTACTCCATCCCCCATCCAGTATGACTTTCATAACCACAGTACCAAATTCCACAGTTACCATGTAACAGTGTGTTCTCTATCCAGCCACCATGGACAGTGACTCCGTACCTCAGTATCTACGTCGCCCACCTTTGTCCGCTCTCGATTCCGTCTCTTCCGGTCTGTACAACAAGGCTCCGAGTCAGTGCAACACACCCGGTTGCACGTGCAGAGGATCTGACGTCCCACCAGAGCAGCAGGATTTCACCTCCAAGCCATTTTACGACGCCCTCACTGACGGGGGACTGGATTATGTGTACGCCAAACAAAACGGGCTTAATCCCCAGGAACACTACAGGAAGACCACGCATCACCGGAAACACGTGATCGTGGTGGGGGCCGGAACATCCGGTCTGTCGGCGGCGTATGAGCTGAGCCAGGCTGGACATCAAGTGAGACCCTATTCGATCTTCTGTCTACTTAGGGAAGGTGGGGTAGTCTTGTGGATAAAGCGTTTGCTCGTCTGGCCCGGCTTCGATGCCCCACAAGGGTAAAAGATGTCAAGAGATCTATTTTATATAGTTGGGATGTTGCTATAGTGGAGTAAAACCAGTTGTTATCTTGTCATCTCAGAAGGCTATGGGGGATTGAGTGATTTGAGTTTGACGCCATTTCGAACGTTTTCTCAGTTGTTTTCGGGTGTCGAGTTAATGGTGGAGGAAACCCCGAAGTAAGGAAGATAAGGCGGTTGGTAATATTATTCTGTAATTTGTGAAAATTACCTGTTCTATATTAATTCTTATTGAGAGATACATGCAAAGTATTGATGTGAATATTTCGATTTTATGTGAGTTCTTGAGATCTCTTTCTCGTGTTTCTTTATGTTAATATCGATCTCGAAACGTCAATCGTGTTGCAACATATAAATAATAGTTGTTACGTCGATATTTGTCAAATGACAAATTATGTTTGTACATATATGAAATATATATATAATGAGAGTGATATTATGAATTAATGGCAAAACAAAACAATCAGTGCTTTTCAGTCACCTTTCGCGATTAGCATCCCATAATGGGCTTCAAGTTCATGGTATTCTGGGTAAGAACAGCTACCCTATTGGTCAGTCGAGACTTGGACTTATCACGCAGTGTGAAGAGTTGCTCATGTTATCAATCCCTTGTCTGACCTGTCCGGAGCCGATTATTTACTTTCTGTAGCTGGAATTTTGCTGATTGTCAGGGTACAAACAAAACCAAACCCGTGACGAGCGGACGCTCCTTCTACTGGGCTACCCCACCATATATTAAAGGTTTAACCTGGAATAGTACTAGTATGCTATTTAAGTACTTTATGGTGGTTATATTCTATTTTGTGATCCTTATGATTTGTTATTAAACAATCATCGATCAATTCGCAGGTAACTATCCTAGAGATACAGCACAGAGTTGGTGGGCGAGCGAAGACTATCAAAGATAAATTTGCAGATGGCCTCCACGCAGAAGGTATGCTATTCTTTATCCTAGATGTTAAATCTGTTAACCGAGTTTGAATGATGTTAAAGCAACGTATGAATACCTCCTTAACACACACACCCAACACCCCACCACACACACACACCCCACCCCACCCCTGTATAGCCTCCCCAGTGAAGGGCATAATATTATCTTTTTACAATCATTTTCGAGTATAATTTTCGTTTCTCATCAATTATTAATTTTTATTTGCGTGATTTCCATTATTTTCTCAATGTTACTAATTTATTTTAAAAATGTTCTTTTTGTTCTAAATATTTCCCCCTTATTTTGAGTTCTTAAAATATGACTGACATAAGGACAAAGTGATCAAAATGACATAATTTAATCGATATCATAAAAATTTAAATTACGAAAAAGAAACGAGAAATTTCGATGTAAAAAACAATATATGTATGCTATCAAAGTGGTACCATTGAGCTCTCTCAAAGAGTCAAATAGTCTTTTGAGTGAGTGAGTAGGGTGTAGTCGGCTTTAACCATACATACTCCATATAACGGTATGTCTGCTTTGAAGTGGGAGGAAACCCCGAAGTGGCGTGTACCATTTTTTGTGAGACCCAACATTTAAAAGGGAAATCGGGCAAACCTAGAAACAGAATCAAGACAAATGATGAATTCATATGAATATAAGTTTCAGGATTTCCTTAGAAATGCAATTCGGCAACTATGAAGCCTCAGAAGACTGGTGACTCCGAAAAGCAGGGATTTATTGATTCAGTGGGGTACTATGCCACATAATGTAACAAGCTTGGTAACCTGTATAAAAGCACTGATATAAAGGGGTGCGCCATGTTATCTCACTGAACTAAAGAGGTGCATTACTACATATCATTGATTAAAAGAGTGCAGTACCGTATAATATTGTATAATGCCATTGACTTCAGTATGTGCTCTGTTATATAATGCCATTGTTTTAGGGGGAGCAATGCGGCTTCCGGAGAGTCACTACCTGACCAAGCACTATATTGACCTGTTCCAAGTGCCAATCAGACGGTTTCAGAACACAAACGAAAACGGCTTTCTCTCCTTCTACGGTGACCCCAAGATAAAGATGTCAGGTAATTTCCACATGTAGACTGTGCAAGCTTTGTGTATATCGATAGTGTTGCCTGTAGAACAGAATATGTTCAATACCTTCCAAACTCCACAGCCATCAACAAAACATTTCCTGAAAATCACAGAGTAGACGGCACATGCTTTTAACGTTACCAGCGTTAAATATCACAAACCTTTCAATAGAAGTCTGTCGAAGAGGTCAATATGTCGCTGAATGATCAGGATGGCAACTTCTTCCACTTTATCATTCAATAAGACCATGCATTTTTGTATTACTAACAATCTAATCGCCAAGACATGGCGTAAACACTATTTTGATCGGGACACACAATATGTAAGGGGGCCTCTTGAAGGTGATTATTCTTATGCGACCGTGTGTTTCAGAATGGAATGCCAACAGCGACTGGTATTGTACAAAGTACTGGAAAGGCTGGGACGCCAACATAGAAAAGTTCAAAACAGAACTTGGCATCAAAGGAATAAGTAAGTAGTGTCTATAGATACATCCTAATTCATTGTACAAAACCACCAATGTTTGAAGAACATACTATGTTATATTTTGGTTATTGTTCTATAACGCGACACTCAGCCATGTTCCAGTGATGTGACGGGATTGGTCATGAAAATCAATAGAGCATAGATATTCAGCAGATGCATTTGTTCTTGTCAAGTAACATGTTCGTTGCCAGTAATGCAGATGAAAGTAGTTCCAGCATTATGGTTGAGCCAGTGAGAGGTTGACTGACTTTAAGTCCCAGAACATGTTTTACAAAAGACAAAGTTCTTAAGTTCTTTTGATAGAATATAATAAGAATGAGCCAAAAGCCTTTCTTCATCATCAGCCCAAGGTAATCAAAACTTTCCAAATGTCATAGACTTACATAAACTCTATTGGATGAATTTGTTTCAATGTCTGTCTGCATGACAGACTAAATCAGAAGCTGAGAAAAGCAAAAATATCACTCTGATTTCGTTTTTAGACGACTACTTTGATCGCACGGTGGCGCCTATATATGCCGAGCTTCGCCGTGACCCTAGCCCCAAGGGGTGGGCGCTTTGGGTCAAGAAATGGAGCCAGTTTTCTGTCGAAGAATTCCTGAAGTCCGACAACTTTCAGAGCACAGCCGACAGGTACAAACTGAGGCCATGGCCACAGAAAGCCATTGAGGCTTACAACGTGCGGAACTATATTCCGCTCATCAACTCCAGCCTGGTGGAGTATCTCAGAGAGTTGTTAGGCCAGTGGTGGAAGGATCCCCTGTACACGCCTACTGAGGGCATGGAGGAGGTTGCAAAGGCCTTCATGCGGAAGAATACAACAGGCTGGAACCCGGATGTGTATCTGAGTAAGGACATCCGATATGGAATAAAGGTTGAAGCCATTGAGGAGGTCAGTATAATATTCCGCTGATTTATTAAGAGCATATCTCGACAAGGATCTGTGTTTATCATGTTGGTATAGACTATTTGTTTATAGCAATGTTGCTTCAGCGTGCAGTCTCACGGAAAACCTTAATTGCAACATAAGTACAGGTATCCCAAGAGATCCTATTTAAAAAAAAAGTATAACTTGCTTTCGCAACACACAACACATTATTCTTCTGAACACTCATTACGTCCAAAGAGTTGTTCCATCTATAATTGTGTAACGCTTCCGGGTTAGAATTGATATTCAGTAACTCATGCTTGTCGTAAGAGGCGGCTAACGGGATCGGGTCGTCAGGCTCGCTGACTTGGTTGGCACATGTCATCGGTTCCCAACTGCGTAGATGCTGTTGATCACTGGATTGTCTGGTCCAGACTTGCTTATCGCCGCCATGTAGCTGGAATATTGCGGAGTAAAACTAAACTCAATCACTATAATTTTCAACATATTTTTTCGCAGCATTTTTGCCAACAGAATTATTAAAAATAAACAAAACTCTCCAATAGATTAATAATACAAGATAAAAACTTGAACCTGAAGGTTCATTGTTCACTTTAGTTTTTACCTCCTTGAGAAAGAAACTCGTTCCTTAACTATTTTTTGTCTAAATGGAACATACTATAACAACGTTTTACACATTGGCTCTTCTGAAATATTTCGAACTCTGAGCCTGTGGGAATGATCATGGATAGTATAAATTTCATTTAGACGGTGGAAGTATGAAGGGAGTGACCATTTCCCGTCTGTTATTAGATTTCACAGCCAAACGGGGAGAAAGTCGTGAGGGTTACTGGTCGTAACGAGGCGACCAAACAACGGGTAGAGTTCACCGGGGATGCTGTGATCATAACCGTCCCCCTGACGGTTCTCCGACAGATGAAGGTGCCCCTGACGCGGTCAAGACAGCAGGCAGTAGAGGGCATCTACTACGAAGCATCAACAAAGATCCTGCTACAGTGCCGGACTAGATTCTGGCAGAATCCAGACAACCTACAGGGAGGCTTCTCCAAGACAAATCTACCCATTGGTAAGCTTCTGTGGCCCATGTTGAGAAGATGAAAGGATACTAGACCTGGATACAGATGCGTCTTGCGATCAGAATACATTGTGTAAGAGGTTCGATGACAGTGTATCCCCGTAGAGTTTCTGTGACAAAATATTCTCAGATTCACAGCAGATAGGTCCCCTCTTCCAGAGTCTGTAATCCTGGAAGAGGCTGAATGGGTCAAATGTGCCTCATAACTGACTTAAGGTGGGGGATAAGGCGGCAGAATAGGTCCACAATACTGCATGCTTGTCTTTCCGTGTCGTCCTGTGCGTAGAGCTCAGGTCACAATCAGTTTAAGTCAAGACACGTTGGGCGCGGAGGGTTTTTGGATGGGTGACCGAGTTTGGCAGCTTGACTCCTGAGAGTTTCTCGGACTTCAGTCCTGCCCCACAACGAAGCGCTTGTGATACATATGGTCTCACCTTAGGCAAGTGAGCTTGTTCAAAACTGCCTCTGTCCACTGTAGTATAATTGAGAACCTAGTATGATACGATGGTAGTCTGAATTTGAACTTTGAGCGCCTGACAGGTGACCGGTTGTATTCTCCACAAGGAGCGTCCTGTACTCGTTGACCAGGGGTAGTATATCAGAGCTTTGCAGATTCCTTGCAGATTCCGCGGGGTGATAGGTCTATGTTCTGCTTGTCTATCAAAGATGGGAACTGGGCCCTTCCAGTACCCCATGCTTGACTTTCAATAGTAATTTAAGAACTTGAGTTCATCTGTCACTGTTAATGGATATTGCAACACGCAGCCTTCCAATTGTGGATGTTCTTAACTTGTTTTGATTATTCCAGGTCAGCTACACTACCCTGACTGGGAGCAGTCGGGGATACCGGAAGATGAACGTGGAATCCTGGTTATCTACACCTGGGGACAAGACGCGGAAATGTTCGGCGCCCAAAAACCAGAAGAGGCCATCGAGAATGCTGTGAAACAGGTGGCAACAATTCACCCCGAGATTGTTGATAATTTTGAAGTTGGTGCAGTACAAGCCTGGTTCAACGAACCCACAGCTCAAGGTGCCTTTGTGTATCTCAGACCAGACCAATATAATGACAGCCTCTTGCAGCTTCTCAAGTCAGACCACCCTGTTTACCTAGCGGGCGAGGCACTGTCGTGGTCCAATGGCTGGATACAGGGGGCGATGGAATCAGGCTTGAGGGCGGCCTATGAGTTCTACAGTTATAACGAAAAGCAGTTCCCGCCTAAAATGAACAGATGTGAACGTGCACACCAGTATGAGTGTCCACAGTCTGAAGGAGTCTGGTCTCATCATCAGTTCTCCAGCAGTCAGAAGTATGGTCATCAGGGGCCATGAGGTATGGGATGCACATTCTGGTGACTAGTACTGGAGAACAGTACTACGCCGGGAAACCGATACTAGATAGCACTGATTGTCGTCACCCCCTACAGTTTGGGATAATACTGCTTACATGACTGACTTCACTCTCTACGGCTTGGGAACCATTACCAGATAACCAGGTTGCATTGCTACTACACTCTCAGCCACAGACTGTTTATAGGACTTACAACCATTTGCAAAAGAATATGATTACCCAGAAGTCAATATTGCATTGTAACAACGACCATCGTCTTGGAAGTAACTCTGTGTAGAGTCTAGTTACTTTCTATGCTAGCTTCCCGTCGGTTATTCCGGTTGAGTTGATATTTTTTTTGTATTGCCAACACAAAACATGTATGAGAGAGCACTGTTCATTTAACGTATTACTCCTATCAACCAGGGGCTCCTTTCACGAAGCAACCTTTACTAAGGTTAACCTTAACTCCCATTCTTTAACATTGCACTAAGGTTACCTTTGTGACTTACGATCGACTTAGTGCTTTGTGAAAGGAGGCCCAGGAACATAACGAGCTTCAAAGGAAATTGAAAAACACATTATTTGTCTAAAACTCGTCAATCGTACAACGTGGCCAAAGAACGGTTCATAGATCCTTTGTGACACTGTATTCGATCCATAGGTACTTATATGTTGCTTACCCAAACAATATTGACGGTAACAAAAAAATTAGTCATCTCACTGACTTTTTCTACTTGAGACGTGCTGTAAACGTAACTCCAGATTATGCATGTACATATATGTTATACACGTATGTAGTGTAAATATAATTGTAAATAGAATGATAATAATTATCACTGTTTTAGTGAGAAATGCCTGCATTCTGCATTATGAAGTCTGAGCACAACCATCGGTAGCTTCTAAGATCATTAGTGAAAGTATTCACTCTTTCCCCTCTTATAGTGGATATGCAAGGGATGTTAAACAGATTCTCCTGCAACGATCAATTATTCTTGCAGCACCTACAGAGCTTCTGATGCGATGATAGCACAGATAACTAGTAATTACAATGTAATTGTGAAGTGCATTCCCTTGCAAGGATTATAGCCGTATATCCTGATTGCCGTGTAGCAGTTGTAAACCTGATTCGTCTTGACACAGCAACTTGTTCTGCAGACTTGCCTCCCTTGAACGTGTGGGAAATCCATGATCGATAGTTCGAATCCCTCATTCGTTTATGGTTTGTTCAAAATTACAAAACACCTGAGACCTGAATTAGGCTTACCTCCTACCTCAAACTGAAATGCCGAGATAGGTCTGAAATACTGTTTAAAGTGTTGAGGACCAAGTCACTCTCTAGTTTCTGCATGTCCATTTACACGTATATACTCTAGATCGCTTTTGTGTTGGACGTTAATGTTTTACGTTCTACTATATATTTGAACATACATATTTGTAAATATTTGAAATTGTTTATTATTCATCATTATTATAGAAAAAATGTATTATTCTGCTTTTTGCCTGATAAATAAATAATAATTAGATGTATTGTGTTGTGTGTTTGTTGTGTTTATACTGTTTCGTCGTTTAATCCGCGCACTTAGTAATGCTGAGTATGGTCGAGTTTAGACCAGAAAAGCTAGTGATTAATATTATGAGCAACAATCAACGTCGTTGGAGAACGACAAGCATTGCATGTTTGGCTTGAAATGAAGTCGGAATCACTACGGTGTATGGGACGATAAAAACGACAGGTAAAGAGTGTCCCGCTGTGTTCTCTGTAAATAATCGAGTCTGGACCAGACAATCCAGTGATCAACAGCATGAGAATCGATCTGCGCAAGTGGGAACCGATGACATGTGTCAACCAAGCCAGCGAGGCTGACCACCCGATCCCGTTAGTCGCCTCTTACGACAAGCATGGGTTACTGAAGGCTCATTCTAACCCTGACCTTCACGGGTTCCCGCTGAGAGTATCTGTTTGTATTGGAAGGGTGGCTTGAAAAAGTGTTTGTTATTTACCGCCGCATTTGGCAATAATCAAGGTAGATGATGGTTATCTGTAAATAATCGAGTCTGGAACACACAATCCAGTGACTGACGTGACGAGCATCGATCTACGCAAATGGGATACGATGGCATGCTTGAGACAAGTCAGCGAGCCTGATAGCTGTTGATGGTGACACAGGTGTCCTGTTATGGGTTTCTATGGCTGTTGATGGTGGATGGTGACATAGGTGTGTGGTTATGGGTTTCTATGGCTATTGACGGTGGATGGTGACATAGGTGTGTGGTTATTGGTTTCTATGGCTATTGGTGGTGGATGGTGACATAGGTGTGTGGTTATGGATTTCTATGGCTGTTGATGGTGGATGGTGACATAGGTGTCTTGTTATTGGTTTCTATGGCTATTGATGGTGGATGGTGACATAGGTGTCCGGTTATGGGTTTCTATGGCTATTGACGGTGGATGGTGACATAGGTGTGTGGTTATGGGTTTCTATGGCTGTTGATGGTGATGGTGACATAGGTGTCTTGTTATAGGTTTCAATGGCTATTGATGGTGGATGGTGACATAGGTGTGTGGTTATGGGTTTCTATGGCTGTTGATGGTGATGGTGACATAGGTGTCTTGTTATGGGTTTTATGGCTATTGATGGTGGATGGTGACATAGGTGTGTGGTTATGGGTTTCTATGGCTGTTGATGGTGATGGTGACATAGGTGTCTTGTTATGGGTTTTTATGGCTATTGATGGTGGATGGTGACATAGGTGTGTGGTTATGGGTTTCTATGGCTGTTGATGGTGGATGGTGACATAGGTGTCTTGTTATGGGTTTCTATGGCTATTGATGGTGATGGTGACATAGGTGTCTTGTTATGGGGTTTTATGGCTATTGATGGTGGATGGTGACATAGGTGTCCGGTTATGGGTTTCTATGGCTATTGACGGTGGATGGTGACATAGGTGTGTGGTTATGGGTTTCTATGGCTGTTGATGGTGATGGTGACATAGGTGTCTTGTTATAGGTTTCAATGGCTATTGATGGTGGATGGTGACATAGGTGTGTGGTTATGGGTTTCTATGGCTATTGATGGTGGATGGTGACATAGGTTTCTGGTTATGGGTTTCTATGGCTATTGATGGTGGATGGTGACATAGGTGTGTGGTTATGGGTTTCTATGGCTGTTGATGGTGATGGTGACATAGGTGTCTTGTTATGGGTTTTATGGCTATTGATGGTGGATGGTGACATAGGTGTGTGGTTATGGGTTTCTATGGCTGTTGATGGTGGATGGTGACATAGGTGTCTTGTTATGGGTTTCTATGGCTATTGGTGGTAACATAGGTGTCTGGTTATGGTTTTCTATGGCTACTGATTATGACTGGTTACCTCTTTTGGGTTTCTTTTGCTATTGATGGTGGATGGTGACAGAGGTGTCGGGTTAGGGATTTGTATGGTTAATGGTGGTGACCTCTAATGAGTTTCTTTAGTTACTGGTGGAGACTTAGGTGTCCTCTCATGGGTGTCTCTGTTAACAGATGAAGTCAACAATATATGAATGAGCAAGAGAGACAGTAAATGCTTGATGTTTGGGACAGCAAATTCATCAAAAGTCAATGTTGGAATGTTAGTCAATGCAAATGTTTGAATGTTAGGCAATGTAAATGCTGGAAGGCTAGCGGCACCAAATATCGAAATGATAATGACGATATATGTTCAAATATTATCAAAAAGAACTGCTGGATAGTGGTTACAATAAGTGTTGGAAATCATTGTTGAGAAAAGACAAGACCACAGAAATGTTTTCAGATATTTATTCAGTTTTTACAATATTATCAGGGGCAGCTTCAGTCAGAAAGTAGCTGTTGAAGAAGCACCCAGTATGTACAGCACTGCCATAACTACAGCATGGCATGTAAGTCACCTTATCCATAGCAGCAGTCAAGAGTTCCTATCAAAAGAGACACCAGTAACATATCATATACACCACAAGTACTTCCTCACATTTGTACACAAGACTCTCCATGAACTTTCAACACTTCAGTAACACTTGACAATAACAAGTCATCTGACGTTGTCCAATATATACTTCAACTTTCTGAAGGTTCATTTTATCACATCACATTACAGTCAGCATTAGAGGCTCCACCCTGTGGCAAGGTGAAAAGGGTCACAAAGGTCAAAGTGTTTTCAATTTGCGGAGTTGCTTCCCTTAGTTGCCAGTATCTGCTGATTATGGGTTTGAATTCCGTATTTGTCTACTTCTGGTTCCTGGTTTTCAGGCTTAAGGGGAAATGTTTCTTCTGTTTCAGTGTGGGATTGCCTCCCAGCATAAAGAATATCAGCTGTAACTGTTTAAGTGGATGTAAACCCCAATGAGACTACTTAATCATGCACACCATATGATTTACACCAACTTTCTTTCTAGGAGTTCCTTATCACCCAGCATAAAAATGTATGGAAATTGACATCTGATAATGTAATTACACTGCTAAATATACATGAAAATCTACATCTGAATATGTGACCTCTTCTCCCAATTCAAGACATTATTTCAAAATAGGTAACCCCTCTCCCATAGCTCTAAATCTACACTCACAACTCACACGTATTTGTATTAAATTGTTATTGAAAATTATGTAAGAAGGTTCAGCATAATTATCTGAGGAGAATTAAGTGAATTCATATAAAATATTTATTCTAAACAGAATTCAGAAATTAATTCATAAGTTTCATACAAAGGCTCAGCAGAAGGGAATCAATTTCTTTCTGTCTTATGAGCGAGTGAGTTTAGTTTTACGCCAGCTTTAGCACTATTCCAGCAATATCATGGCGGGGACACCACAAATGGGCTAAACACATCGTATCCATGTGGGGAATCGAACCTGGGTCTTCAGCATAACGAGGGAACACTTTAACCACTAGACTACCTCACAGCCCCTTCTTTCTTTAGAAGGTTCAGCAGAATTTAATGAATAAATTCATGTTAACTATCATAACTCAGCAGATTAAATTAATTAATTCAATGCGGACAGATAACTGATGATTTGTAATTCCCTAAGGCCAAAAATAAACTGTGTGTTTAGGGTAACATGAAATGTGTGTTTAGGGTAACATGAAATTATAAAACAGGGTCAGTAGGTAGGGTTTATCATTTTTTTTTCTTACCTTTTTTTTAAACGCACTCGCATATTTTTCATAAAATCACATATTTATGTAATATCAGGCACCAGTTTTGAAAGAAAAGAGGGGAAACCAGTTTAAAATTTTAATAACTGAAGCAACAACACTTTCTAAATTCGACATTTATGAAAAACAAGAGTAAGTGAGCAGAGGCCCCCAACATTGGGGAGTACATACTGTTGGAATAGCAAAATGTTTCGCTGTCTTTTAAGAAAATGATAAAATAGAGTTTAGGGTTGTGAAGTTTGTGATGGGTTTGGTTGGGAAACCGTAAACACACATCTTTTTTTTTTCCCCTAAATATTTGAGTTGGAAGGCCAGAATACATAATACCAATTTCATTCAGTCTGTTAAACCGCAAGTTAAGAAGCATTTTTGTTTTCTTTGAAACAAACTGTTAATGGCATCTGTGTAGACTGACAACATTCTTGCTAAGGAGGGGAACATGTTTTTCCTTGTCACTTGGCACACTCAGACAAAAAACTGATGTAATGTGGGTTATTTAGTTTGTTCTTTACCACCGCACTCAGCAGTATTCCAGTTATATGGTGGCGATCTGTAAAAAATCAAGTCTAGACCAGACAATCCAGTGATCAGTACCATGAGCATCAATCTACCCAATTGTGATACGACCTGTGCCAACCAAGTCAGCAAGCCACTTCTTACGTCAAGCATGGGTTACTAAAGTCCAATAATAACCCCGATCTTCATGGGTTATGTTATTTAGTAGTTAATGAAACTCTAATTATCAATTTATTATTATTGTCCTCAGTATGTATGACAGTGTTTGTCATCTTAAGACTGCAACCTGTACTAACACTTGGTCTGTGAAAATACTGACAGAAACAAGCAATGGAATTGTAAATGAGCCACAATGAGATTGGAGATTCAGAACCTGTCGAAAATCTAGACACGCCTCACTTAGGGCTGTAGCATTATGGTAAGTGCTAGCGGAAGGAAAATAATTCAGTTCAGTGATCATGAGACTAGACCAGGAGCCTACATTCAGGAAGAAAATCACAGTACAGGCAGGTCATCGTGACCCCTGTCAAGGTAAATCTAACCATATCAAAACTGATAAGTGTCCACTTTTTCCCCATTTGCATTCAAAGTTTCCTCCTCTGACAAATACAGATTATTTGTGTGTCCACATCATAAAGAATCATATATCTTGTTGAGGCCAAATAAAAATAATTTTGTGGTTACAGCTCTTAAAAACTTGGGGGAGGTAGGTAGGATTATATTTTTTTTTTACATTTTAAAAAAAAATTAAGGCCTGACCAATCATATTTCTTGTTTTACAGAATTTTGTCCTCGGAAAACCTAAAGACAGGAGGGAAAAAAATAAAAATAAAATCACCAGTTCAAGTAATATCATAGTACTTTATCAATGTGTAATTGTTTATTTAATTAAGTTTGCAGCCATCATGTCGACTTTCTCTATCAGGATGACCGATGCCCGTCAGTGCCGGAAAAAACAATGGTTAATGAACCCTTATTTTATTCATACCGCTTAAGAAATATAGGGTCCACACCAGAATTCAAGGGTCGGTTGGGTAATCGGAACCACAACATTTTTTAGGCCTGACAATGGTGTTAATAATTTTCTTTTTCTTTTTGTATTAAATATATTTTCCTCCCTTAGATCCAATCAGTTGGGAAAAGTTCAAGGGTACTTTAAAGGAAAGACATAATACATTTGGTCATTGAAACAGGATCATTGATATCATGGTATTTTAAGCAGTTAGTAGAGTCTCAGTCTGTAAAACCATATAGAGTTCACATCATCATAATCATATTCAACTATCAGTCATCTTTACAGCTATGTACTTTCCCTCTGAGTATATTCATTCCTGTACCTTGCCAGTCTCTCCATATACACCATGCCCATATACAAATAAATAAACATGAACAAGATACAAATGTTAAGGAATTATAAAAATGTCATCTATCACATCCATGCCATTCATCTGTCACCTTCTGTAACTCACAGCCACACAAAGGAAGCAGTTGCTATGACAACAGCAGGAAGATGGTACTTAATCATCATTTCCTCTAGTTTCCCAAATAAGATTATAACAAAACATAATGACCCAGAAATTCATGTGAAAGATAGCCAGTTCAATATATGAAACAACATATGCATATCAACTCACACATTTTGCATCAGGCTAAAGTTTAAACAACTGACAGTCATTTCTCAGTCACATTAGATGTTTATCTGCTTTCATCTTAATCATTTTCTTTCAATATCTAGCCTACCCTAAATTCGCGATTTTTGTGTGAAAACACACTGATTGAGTGAAATGAATAGATAAGATAAAATAGACAAGATTTAATTTCCTATACCATTATTGTTAATTAGTTGTCATGTCAGCAGTGCCCACATGATAGTTTCGCAGTTTAATATATTGTATGAACAACCTTTCTTGTTGTGAATAAGTATGTTCAAGGGAATAACAGAGTCGAAAATGGTTTTGAGATTACTTTTTTCTCTTCCTCTTCAAATTGTTTTGCAGCTAACAGTAATGTAGCATTGAGTGCCCTTTTTGTTGTATATTTGTAGTTTAATGCCAAATTCAGAAATATTACAATAACATGGCGTCAGCCTATAAATAATGGAGTCCGTACCAGGCAAACCAGAGTATGATATGCTGAGTAATTCTCTGCCAAACGGGTGAGTTAGTGATTCTGACAATCCAATCTGTCTGATTGCCGAGTACATCTAACAGGGCTCTAGGACCAATGTTAACCTGGAATTGACACTGGTCTAGAACAACACTAGAATGCTTGTGCTTATTATCATTATAATGGCGTGTTAAGTGAGAGTGAGTGAGTAAGTTTATTTTTACAGTGCACTCAGAAATCCATATATATGGCAGTGGTCTGTAAATAATCAAATCTGGACCAGACTACCCAGTGATCAACAGCATGAGCATCGATCTACACACCTGGGATACGATAACATGTGTAAACCAAGTCAGCGAGCCTGACCACCTGATCCTGTTAGTCGCTTCTACGATAAGCATGAGTTACTAAAGATCAATTCTAACCCGGATCTTCACAGGTGCATGTTCAAAGATCCCTGTCACTTTTTGCCTGCTTAATTCGCACAACAGCAGTACATTTTAAATAGTCAAAAATATTCAAAGATATTTACTAAATTGAGGTCACAGAATAATTCAATCATTAAAGGTTTTAGATCTAGAAGCAATATTAGCATGTCACTATTCCAAGATTTCCCAATGATCAATAATTTTGTAAACAAACATACTGTTTAAAACAAAAACTCAGAGAATTAGAATAACTGTTGATTGTAGTAGCTTGACATTAAATACTGACACATTCTGTTAGGCATTCTATCAGCAGAAATACCTCATTCAGAAACCTATTTAGGTGACAACCTGTAATTAAAAGTGTAACAAAATGGTTGTTGTATATAAAAACAAAATTTAAGATGTTGTTACCAAGACAAAAAGGGCAAATGTTTCAGCTATTTCTTTGAATTCAGACACATACTCAACCATCCTTTTCTTTGAAAAGAAAAGCATTACAGATACATCTGCACAAAATTATTCCCTCTGACCTAATTAATAACAGGAATAACATGGCATTTCTACTTAACCTACAGAAAGATGTTCTTCCTATTAGACCTAATGGCAGATATGTTATTTCGTATTTGATCTACAATAGGATGGGTTTTTTTTCTCCATTTTATCTACAGAAAGATGTTCTTCCGGTTTGACCTAAAGAACATTTTTTGGACTAAAGAAACACTGTCTTCCCATTTGACCTTCATTATGACCTTTCCCATTTTTTAAGTGTTTTCCCATTTGACCTATGAGAAATGGCTTACCAATTTGACCTACAGAAAGATGCTTTCCCATTTGACCTACAGAAATATGCTTTCCCATTTGGCCTACAGATAGATGCTTTCACATTTGATCTACAGAAAGATGCTTTCCCATTTGACCTACAGAAAGATGCTTTCCCATATGACCGATAAGAAATGGCTTTCCCATTGGACCTACAGAAAGATGCTTTCCCATTGCACCTACAGAAAGATGCTTTCCCATTGGACCTACAGCAAGATACTTTCCCATTTGCCCTATAAATAGATGCTTTCCCATTTGGCCTACAGATAAGTGCTTTCCCATTTGACCTACAGATAGATGCTTTCCCATCTGACCTTGAAATAGATGCTTTCCCATTTGATCAACATGTAGATGACTTTCCCACTGATCAAAATATATGTTTTCCCGTTTACCAATCATTCAGTTAACATCTTATTCCACATAACACAACAATAAAACAGTGGATATATCACATGAACATCATCTTGGCATATTATCTGGATAATATCACAACCATTGGGTATAACAAACATGAGAACATTGAATCAGCTGGACCAACTTGAAGCTACTTCCCATAGTGATCACATATCTTTCCAAGGTGATAGCATATCTACCCAAGGTGATAGCATATCTTCCCCTGGTGATAGCAAATCTTCCTAAGGTAATAACATATTTTCCCTTGGTGATAGCATATCTTCCCAAGGTAATAACATATTTTCCCCTGGTGATCGCATATCTTCCCCTGGTGATAGCATATTTTCAAAAGGTGATAGCATATTTTCCCTTGGTGAAAGCTTATCTTCCCTTGGTGATAGTATATCTTCCCAATGTAATGGCATGTCTTCCCCTGGTGATAGCATATCTTCCCAATGTAATGGCATGTCTTTCGCTGGTGATAGATATCTACCCAAGGTGATAGCATATCTTCCCCTGGTGATATCATATCTTCCCAAGGTGATAGCATACTTTCCTCTGGTGGTAGCATATCTTTACAAAGTGATATCTACCCAAGGTGATACCATATCCTCCCCTGGTGATAGCATATCTTCCCAAGGTGATAGCATATCTTTGCAAGGTGAAAGCATATCTTCCCCTGGTGAAGTTTCCTCCTACAGAGATAATATTTCAACCTATAAGAATAACACATCTTGCCATGACCATAACATTTCATGATTTTTTGCGACACCATGTGTTCGCATGTTGACAACATATCTTCCCATGGTCATAACATCTCCTTCCATGGTCATTACACATCTACTCATGATGATAACATAATAATTCTTCCCATGATGATAACAAATCCTCCCATGGTGATAACATATCTTCCCATAGTATTAAACATGGCCTTCCATGGCAATTGCACATCTACTCATGGTGATAACATCGCTTTCTAGAGTGAACCATATCTTATGGTGATAACATCTCTTCCCATGGCTATGACATCGCTTCCCATGGCAATAACATCACGATCTATGGTGATAACATCTCTTCCCATATGGCTATGACATCACAACCTACAGTGTAACATCTCTTCCCATGGCTATGACATCACAACCTATGGTGATAACATCTCTTCCCATGGCTGTGACATCACAACCTATGGTGATAACATCTCTTCCCATGGCTACGACGATTTATTTCCATGGCTATGACATCACAACCTATGGTGATAACATCTCTTCCCATGGCTATGACATCACAACCTATGGTGATAACATCTCTTCCTATGGCTATGACATCACTACCTTTGGTGATAACATCTCTTCCCATGGCTATGACATCACAACCTATGGTGATAACATCTCTTCCCATGGCTATGACATCACAACCTATGGTGATAACATCTCTTCCCATGGATATGACATCACAACCTATGGTGATAACATTTCTTCCCATGGCTATGACATCACTACCTATAGTGATAACATCTTCCCATGGCTATGACATCACAACCTATGGTGATAACACCTCTTCCCATGGCTATGACATCACAACCTATGGTGATAACATCTCTTCCCATGGCTATGACATCTCCTCGCATGACAACAACATCTGTTCCTTAAAGGTTTCTCTGCTCCCGGTCACGTATCCTCACTACAGCCAGTGTTGGTGGATGACACTGAAGTGGAGATGTCCAAGGTTTCAAGGCACAGTATGGGTTATTGAGGAACATTGCTGAGCATCCAGCAGGGCCAACACATGTAATAACATCTAACACCCCACTGAGTGTCATGTCCTCCGTGGCTCAAGTTTATGAGACAGCTGAGTTAAAGTCCTCTGATTGTCTATCACACTGAGATTCCTGAAACAGAAAACACTTGATCTTACTTTAAGAAAACTTTCATACTTTTTGTTAGTTGTATGTCAATAGCAGATATGTTATAGCTAAATGACAGCAGTCTGTAAATAATCAAGCCTGGATCAGATCAGTGTGTACTGGGTGTATTGAGCTCCTTGATCAATCACTGTGTACTGGGTGTATTACGATCCTTGATCAATAAGTGCCTACTGGGTGTATTAAGATCCTTGATCAATAAGTGCCTACTGGGTGTATTAAGATCCTTGATCAATAAGTGCCTACTGCGTGTATTGAGATCCTTGATCACTCAGTGTGTACAAGATGTATTGAACTCCTTGATCAATCAGTGTATACTGAGTGTATTGAGATCCTTGATCAATCAGTGTGTACTGGATGTTTAAGATTCTTGATCAATCAGTGTGTACTGGGTGTATTGAGTTCCTTGGTCAATCAGTGCCTACTGGGAGTATTGAGATCCTTGATCAATCAGTGCCTACTGGATATTGAGTTCCTTGATCAATCAGTGACTGGGTGTTCTTGATCAATCAGTGCCGACTGGGTGTATTGAGATCCTTGATCAATCAGTGTGTACTGGGTGTATTAAGATCCTTGATCAATCAGTGCCTACTGGGTGTATTGAGCTCCTTGATCAATCAGTGTGTACTGGGTGTATTGAGATCCTTGATCAATCAGTGTGTACTGGGTGAGATTGAAGTGCCTTGATCCTTGATCAATCAGTGCCTACTGGTGTATTAAGATCCTTGATCAATCAGTGCCTACTGGGTGTATTGAGCTCCTTGATCAATCAGTGCGTACTGGGTGTATTGAGATCCTTGATCAATCAGTGTGTACTGGGTGTATTGAGTTCCTTGATCAATCAGTGCCTACTGGGAGTATTGAGCTCCTTGATCAATCAGTGCCTACTGGGTGTATTGAGATCCTTGATCAATCAGTGCCTACTGGGAGTATTGAGCCTTGATCAATCAGTGTGTACTGGGTGTATTGAGTTCCTTGATCAATCAGTGCCTACTGGGTGTATTGAGTTCCTTGATCAATCAGTGCCTACTGGGAGTATTGAGCTCCTTGATCAATCAGTGCCTACTGGGTGTATTGAGCTCCTTGATCAATCAGTGCCTACTGGGAGTATTGAGCTCCTTGATCAATCAGTGCCTACTGGGAGTATTGAGCTCCTTGATCAATCAGTGCCTACTGGGTGTATTGAGCTCCTTGATCAATCAGTGCCTACTGGGAGTATTGAGCTCCTTGATCAATCAGTGTGTACTGGGAGTATTGAGCTCCTTGATCAATCAGTGAGCCCTACTGGGACTGTATTGAGCTCCTTGATCAATCAGTGCCTACTGGGTGAGCTATCAATCAGTGCCTACTGCTCCTTGATCAATCAGTGTGTACTGGGTGTATTGAGCTCCTTGATCAATCAGTGCCTACTGGGAGTATTGAGCTCCTTGATCAATCAGTGTGTCCTCCTTACCTGACATAGCTCCTCACATCAGGGCTTGTCTTCAGTGATGGGGGAAGCTCCATATCTGGACATAATTCATAACAGATGTCAGCATACATAAACAATTGCCACAACCATTCAGTGATCTACTGGAGCTAAATACTTATCTCACAGAACATTTGGCACTGTTAAGTGTACAATTAAAACAGTTCAAAAGAAAAATAAAGATGAGTGGGTTCCTCTGTCAATGAAATGTCACTTGGCTTCATTTTGTTACTATCTTGATTCAGGAAAATTATCTTGAAGACCATCCTGGTCTGAAAGCTTTCTTCCCTCCAACTGAGATGTTAGAAGCCTTGAAACTGGTTGGCTGATGAGGACATTCTCTCAATGCAGCCTACTTTGGAGATTTCATCAGATTTTCAAGAAGTCAGATATCATTTTGAAGTAAAAGATCAATGAACTAAGATTGATGGCCAAAAGGAGAGTGATGGGCAAATGACCTACCAAAAGGTACACTGCGACACACACGCACTGTCTTTATCGTCTGGCCAATCATGTGCTACAACATAATACAACAATATAATATATTTGGAAATGACTCTTGCATGGCTGTTTTACAGGTGTTGTAGAACATTTAACCATGACATAGAACATTAACTTCATTGGCAGGAAAAAGTGTTTCTGATCGTAAACGTAAAGTCTTTCCTCAGACACAGCTGGGTATGGCAGTGACAAACAGACCCACACCTCAGAGCTCTGATAGTCCCATCCTCGTAAAACTGACATTAATAATAATAATGATATTAATAATAATAATAATAATAATATCAGCATATTTGTATCACGCATATAGCCATTCCAGAGCATGCTCAAAGCACACAAACTACAATCTGATTATCATTACCCTTGATAACACAAGCTGCCTGTGAGGTGCTAGAAGGTTAAAAGTCACATGACTAATCCCACCGGGTACCCATTTTCTGCAGGGTGAATATTCAGATCAAGTTAGATAAACTTTGACAAAAACATCACAAAATGACATATCAAATAGTTCTGTGAAGTTAGAATATGAAAATGAAACATAATGACAAGTAAATATATGCAGCTGCATTCATTTTCCTGTCATTCAAGTAGGTCTCATTTTTTAACTGCAAGCCTACAAATATATCAGCACTGACGTGCGTTAATCCTTGGAAATTAATTTCATTACTGAGGTACCATGGGTTTGGAACTAGTAACTTTATTATTTTTCAACTTACCATCTTCTCAAAGTTGACCAGACGGTCAAAGTAGGTCTTATTTCCTTCATGGGTGAAGGTCATATCTAGAAAAACATCAACAACAATGATAATGATATATAAGACATCCGCAACACTTTATTGTACTGCCAAACAATATGGACACTACATACATGACCACCATCCTGTTGGGATCAGTTCTGTGTTCCACTTTCACTTTCATAAAGTATATACTTAATCACAGTATATCCCCTATTCACAGCTGCTGGGGATATGGACTTGTTTCATATTCCTGCCCAAGATATGTGTGAACAATCTTGAACTGGAAAAGGATATGTATCTTGTGACAAACTCAGCGATGGTCAGTTAGTTATAAGGTGGGTTCTAAGGTGCCTAGCGGTTAGAACAATAAAAAAAAAATACATTATTAGACAATAAAGGTATAGTTTTTTGATGACGTAACAATTGAATGACATTATCCCGTCACTGCGCCATTCTAGTGTGCCCCCTTGTAATCGAACCATTTTACATTACGGCACAACGTAAGCGACGTCACGATGCATGTTAGTTGTCATCGCCTCGTACAGCCTCCTACAGTAAACTACTACGTTGCATCCCGTTTCTTGGTTTGCAGTTGCTTCACTCACCTAACATCGCTGGTGGAAACATTACGTTTATGTTTTCTGACGTTCATAATAATTTAGAGAAGATATTTAATCCGAACGTAAACCGTCATTAAACTGTTTATCATTTGTTTTTCTGGTAACGTTCGTCTTAATGTAGGGGGCCAGACACATCAATAGAACAGCGCGCCAGTTAGCCCTGTGCGAGGATTCTTAATTTAGGTCACCGACATCGTCGTTTGTTTTCTGCCTTAAATTAATCGTAATTATCCTTAGAAAGTATTATATTTGGCATCTTAGAAAAGAAATACAGTTCGCTCTACCACCATGTATAGTGTAATAAAACACACTTTCGGCCTGAACTATTATGAGGTTTACGTACTCGGACGCAAGCGTCCTCGTGCTTTAACTATAATAGTTCAGGCGTCCGAGTGCGTTAACGTCATAATAGTTCAGGGCGATAGTGTGTTTTATTACACTATACATGGTGGTAGAGCGAACTGTATTTCTTAAATACATACATATTGTAACCCTGAAGAATTTCCATTAACAATTTCATCAATCACATTTTCTAGAAAAAAATTAAACATTTCTTAGTTTGTTATCCTGTTCTGAATAATATAAAATAATCAGAATAGTAGACAGAAAAAAAAAACAGTAATAGTAAGACAATAGCAGTAATAAATGCCAGAAGTTTATAGACAGGAATAGCTATAGTGAATAATCAGACAGGAATAGCTCTAATGAATAATCGGACAGGAATAGCAATAATGAATAGTCAGACAGGAATAGCTCTAATGAATAATCAGACAGGAATAGCTCTAAAGAAAAATCAGACAGGAATAGCTCTAAAGAATAATCAGACAGGAATAGCTCTAAAGAATAATCAGACAGGAATAGCTCTAATGAATAATCAGACAGGAATAGCTCTAAAGGATAATCAGACAGGAATAGCTCTAATGAATAATCAGACAGGAATAGCACTAATGAATAGTCAGATAGGAATAGCACTAATGAATAATCAGACAGGAATAGCTCTAAAGAATAATCCGACAGGAATAGCTCTAAAGAAAAATCCGACAGGAATAGCTCTAAAGAATAATCAGACAGGAATAGCTCTAATGAATAATCAGACAGGAATAGCTCTAATGAATAATCAGACAGGAATAGCTCTAATGAATAATCATACAGGAATAGCAATAATGAATAATCAGACAGGAATAGCTCTAAAGAATAATCAGAGAGGAATGACAGTAGTTAATAGACAGGATTAGCACTAATGAATAGTCAGATAGGAATAGCACTAATGAATAATCAGACAGGAATAGCACTAATGAATAGTCAGATAGGAATAGCACTAATGAATAGTCAGATAGGAATGACCGTAGTTCATATGAAAAGCACTAATTAAGACTGGAATTGCAGACTTAGTGAATAGACAATGTCAGGAGTGAATAGTTAGACAGGAATACCAGACTTTGTTTTCATCAGGCCAGAGGTATACAGATGAATTATTGCTGTGTAAAAACTACAAACAAGTAAAACAAGCACTAGCCTTTCATCAGGAGTGGCATGAAAGGAATGATTGGAGGAGTCATCTTGGAAGCATTCACTCTGTATGATCGGTGGTTGCGGGATGGGTCCATGTTAGTTTCAAACTCAGCAAACATTCGTTTGAACTTGTTTGGCAACTTCTGAAAAGAGGAAGAAAAGTAATATAGATAACTTGTATGTACTCAAACAAGTCATTCAAAGTTACTTCAAAAGGTTTGATCTACTTTGGCTTTTGTTTCACATCTCACACTTTGTAAAATTGACATTTGTTAAAAAAACACATTAAGAAATCTGTTTTGTGAAGTTAATTTCCATCGAAACAAAATCGTATAAACGTTAACTCATACTGCCACATTGATGTCACAATGTGCCCACACCCCATCACGCTTTGTGCCCAATCCAATCTACCAAATGTGATGTTCATGTAATTCTTTATGCAGTAATGTGTAATTTATCCAAGGTTAAATTCATTCAAATATTTCTCTTGGTTTGCACTGCATGTTGTTTGGTTGAGCTTGCCACAGGGCCAGCAAGAGTTACCTCCCATGTCTGTGACAGCCTGCTGACTGCTATGTTGCTCAGTCCCATCACAATGGCAAAGAAGGACTGAATGTTCTTATGCTCTTTGCAACTGAAACGAATAAAAGTCATGATGATGATGATGATGATGATGATGACTACTAACACAAGTTCTCTTTAAAAATTACATATAACGGATGTAATGAAACTTAAAACATATTTTTTAACCAGTGAAGATCTGTTTTGAATTGATCTTCAGTATGTTACCCATGCTTGTCGTAAACTAACAGGATCAATGGTTGACACATGTTGTTGATCCCAATTGCATTGTCTCAGACCAGACTTGATCATTGATTGTCTGGACAGACTTCGATTATTTACAGACCACCGCCATATACCTGGAATATTGCTGAGTGTGGCGTAAAACTAAACTCGCTCACTAAAACATATTCATTCCAATTCTGGTTGTGACACAAACACCATTCCAGACAGGGCATCCAACAACTCACTGTGCAGCGATCTTGATGAACTTGCGAAGCAGCTGGACCCGTTTGCTGACATTCTGTGTTAGCACCATCTCCGTGACGACCCAGTACTGGATCTCATTGAAGCGTCGGAGAAACAAGTCCAGGTTGGCTGTGATTTTGTTGAACTTATGACGACCAAACACATGATAGATCAGCTCATACTGTGTACAAAAACAGAAATGGAGGAAATATAATCAGAACAGTGGGAAAAGAAAATCAGATGAGTTTTAAATCATTAAACAGAACCAGGATCCACCTTAGGCATGAGCAACGATGTGGTGTCAGCTGAGCATCATGGTTCATTTGTATTAGGAAACACGAAAATCAAAGCCTTTTCAAGGCTTTTCATGCATTCTTCTGTCCGATTATTCCTTCTCTATCAGACAAGAATCTTCTCCCATACACAACACACTTTCTTTCAGACTGTTTATGTGATTATCACTATCAAGGCTGTCAGGCCAGGCTAGCTATTCTCGAAACGTTTGTAGCCCTACAAACTTCTTAAGCCCATTCTTAAAACATTGGCTATGAACGTTTAGAGAATAAGGGCCCTGCTTATTTGGACAGGCCTGTCAACTGTTATTAAATTCTACATATTATACTATTCTACTGCCAAGGAAAATCTGAATTATTAGATTGTCATGAATTCTTCATGGTCTTGGCATACGAATCTACAACTGTGATAACATAACTAAATCATCCTTGCACATGTTTTCGTCACTTTAATACTAATATTAACAAGCACATTTTGTACAGTTTCAATGCTTTTCAACCCATTTTGGTGATTTTCAAGGCATGTCAATATTTGGGTCTAATCAATAAGGGCATTTCAATTCAAATTCTCTTCAATCCTAATGCACCAAAGCGTAAACAACAAAGCGTCAGTTAGAAGAGAGCCTGAAATGATGGCTGTTAAAACTTGTATCACTTTAATGAAAGCCAAGACAAACCCAAGTCAAAATATCCTGATCAATATACAGGGGTTCAAGGACCAGTGATGATCTGGGTAAAAACTGGTCTTCAGCAAACCATGCTTGTCATTAGAGACAACTTATTATAACGGAATCGGATGGTCAGGCTCGCTGCCTTGGTTGATGCATGGCATTGTATCCCTTATGCATAGATCAATACTCTATAAAAACATAATCGAGTCTGGACCAGACAATCCAGCGAGCATGCAATTTGTAGATACGATGACATGTGTCAACCAAGTCAGCGAACCTGACCACCCGATCCTGTTAGTCGCCTCTTACGACAAGCCTGTCAGCCATACCGGACAAGCATATCAGCTAAAGATGACCACTGTCACTCACCTCATGGACACACATGAACAGCTCCCAGTCATACTGAGTGACTTGGTACGCCACTTCCTTGGTGCTCATCATCTCCAGTAGGGCTGCCGTGCCAGTGTTCGGACCTTCTTGTTCCGGAAGTGGGGTCTGCAAAAATTCATGAAGGTTAACTTTTCAGTTATGAACCAGAGAACATTTACATCAAAGTTGTATATATTTTTGAACACATACTGTATATTACGTAGATAAGCCAAATTTTGAGGACCCAACAAGCTGTCTGTAGGAGAGGGTCGGCTTATCTACGTGTTATACTTTCATCAAACGTTTTTTCTGCTGTTAAGAAAACGACATCGTATCGCTTCTTCGCATGAACGAACAAGAGAAGTCGACTTTGTTAGTAAAGACGTCAAACTTGCAATTAAATATCACTTGACAAGATTGGTTACGTTTTCAGTTCTTTATACGTGCCAATTTTGAGGAAAGTTTTTGGGCCACAGTCAAAACATATTTTATCATCTATGTAGATTATACTTTCATCTACGTAGAAGATACTTTCATCTACGTAGAAGATACTTTCATCTACGTGGATCAACTATGTAGAAGTAATGAATCATCTATGTAGATGAAAGTACCTTCTACATAGATGAAAATATCTTCTACATAGATGAAACTATCTTCTACATAGATGAAAATATTTCTACATAGATGAAAGTATCTTCTACATAGATGAAAGGATCTTCTGCATAGATGAAAGGATCTTCAATGTAGAAGTAATGTATCATTTGTCAATGAAAGTATCTTCTACGTCAAAAACATCATCTTTTGGGAGTAAAGTATCATATACGTAATTGAACATATTTTCTACACCAATGAAAATATCTTCTACTAAGAAGTAATTGTTTCATCTATATAGAAGTAAAGTATCATCTACCTAGATACAAGCATTATCTGTGGACATGTGAAACATTTTGTAATTTTTTTTACTATGACACGAATATGCTTGTATACATATCACCACTTGCACATCACTGCAATATTAATTTTAAAAAAGAATGGTAAACAAAGTCTGCTCCCAAAGAAACAGCTGTGTTATTGACCAGTTGACAAATTAATTAACAAAAGCTGCATCAATTGGTGCCGCTTTGTTTCCCGTAATCCTGATAATGATTGTTGGGGTTTCCATGGTTTACACTTCCATAGGTTGTTGGTCTCCATGCTTCAGAGAAAAGAACTGAATGTCCTGACACTCAGTGACTGAAAGATATTGTTTCTAGCAATAACACCAAACTGATAAGAAAACAGACTGGGGCCGTATTTCTCCTGTCTAAGTAGAATAGTTACCAGGGCGTCAAGGTGCTCCCGTGGGGTCACAAACAGCCGCCCATTAAGGCTCAGGCCTGTTATCACACACAGATCAATGTTCTTGTATATGATTCGTTCTGAAAGGGAAAGAACAAAACATTCAAGTCAAAACTTGATGGAGTAAAGGTTCAAGAGAAGTGATCACCTAAAATATTCTTGTATGGGGATAAGAAGATATCCTTTAAGCAGGGCACGATTTAAGAGGTGTTAACCTACTTACACCAGGTGCAACCTAAGATAAAAACCTAGCTGCACCAGCCAAATTCTAGTTGCACTGTTTTTTTGCAATATGTAATGAAAGAAATCTAATTATTTAGATGTTTTATTCAGAAGTGTACCCAATCAAAACTTGACTTGCACATGGTGCAAGTTAGACTAATAAACTAGGCTGCACTTTGTAATATTGGGTTGCACCAGAGCTAGTAACAAAGCACTAAATCGAGCCCTGTTTAAGTCAACAGTCTTTATCAGCTAATATAAGCCACTTAAAATGGTCTTAACTAGTGAGTTATAGTATATGTATTTTGAAGTTTGAAATATTTTTCATTTCAATCTTGTTTAAAAGGGGGAAAATATGCATGCAGGTTAAGTTGGTCCTTTAAAAGCTTTAGATTTACACCCACATTTATTTACAAATACATACTATGAACTGTCTATTTAAACACTAACAATTGAATGGCTAATACCATCCAGTATGACTCCAAAGTATCTGATTATTGAAATATCTACACATGCTTTTTCTTTTTTCTCGGACATTGTTATCTCCCTTGTTTCCATGACTACAAAATTGTGGCCACTGACAATGCTGAGAAATATTTACTTCAGTAAGGCATCTTACAACATGTATCATCAAATATTCGATGATCCCTTAGTTCAATGAAAAAGAGTTAGCTAGTGACATTTTACATGAACTTCAATATATGACATTATGTCAAGTATCAATACAACACAATCGTTTATTGTATTTTAGGCCACCAGCCCTTATACAAGAGAGTTACATACAGAGTTGCAATACATGTTGTAGGACATGATACAATAGGACATGATTAATTGTATATGCTCATTATGACGAATAAATGCATATTTAACATAGAGAGCTAGATTACGTAGGGTGGATTCATTATTAGTTGTTCTTAAACTGGTAAAAGCTATCAGTGGTGGTTCCGACAGATAACATTCTGGGATATACTTGTAACGTAAATCTTCATAAAATGAACAGTCAAGGATAAAATGTACTTCATCTTCTACTGAAGAATTACAGAAAAGACAAGTTTTCTGCCTCTGTTTACCATTAAGTCCAACAAACCTATCCTATATTTAGCAAATATGTTTCTATTACACTTAAAAGTAAGTTTAGATAAATACAATTCAGGTTGTATTAGAGTTTTAAATGTTCTATATAATTTGTAATGAGAGCTACTTTCTAGAGTGAATATGCCATTCCTGATAAAACATATTTACTGCTCGGTATTTCAAGTATCCATGTGATTTTGTAATAATGCTCAACTGTGTTGGTAACATGTGACTGTTATGGTCTACATCTGACTGGTGGTGCATCATCTGTTTAAATGTGATGATAATGAAGGTTTATTCAGTCTAAGTAAACTTAGGCTCAGTATTATTTGTTACACTGCTATATTCTATAGCAAACCTAGTAGAAGGACGTGTCAGCTAAACTTTGAGTGACCTATGACCGTCCAATCAAACGTGAGATGGCCAAATGGATTTAACCAATCAGACAATGACTATTTGCTAGGGTTCAGCAGGACTTACAAAACGGTTTTTGGATTTTCTCTTCCCTGGTCGCTGACACTGATCTATCAACAAACTAAAATCCGCATAAAACACAGACCTTTGACCTGCTATATATACACTTATGGGTTTCTAATGACATGGTTACTATTTGCTTATATTTTCGCAAGATGACATCCTTGAATATTGATAAAAACGCTATTTTCAGCGACTGTTTACTCATTGCATGTATCACTCAGAAGCGATCGTGCGGCAAATAGCATTAGGAATCGTTCGAGTTTTTGAGGTAAAGGTTGAAACGGTATGTGCGAATGTTAACTTTCGTGATTGGTGACATGACCTTCTACTAGGTTTTGTTAGACTCAGTATTATAAACAGTGTAACGAATAATACTGAGCCTAAGTTTACTTTGACTGAAGGTTTGTGTTGCCTAGATACTTAGACACAAGAAGCTGAGTCAAAGCTTACATGGCAGAACTATTGAATGTTTTGGTTTATGTGACAATGTATTTATGGTTAAAACATTGCAATGATTTTGTTTTGGTTTGTTTGTAGTATAATGTCGCACTCAGCAATATTCAGGCTGTATGGTGTCGGTCTATTTATGGTTTGAGTCTGGACCAGACAACATTGATCAACAACATGAGCATCAATCTACACGATATTTTATTTTATGCATTAAAGTATATTTAATAAATAACTACCAGTTTCCAACAGTCATATTAATTTCAGATATTAAGCATTATTACAAAAATATATAATCGTATTTGATGCCATGGTAATCCCCAAACTCTCCTTGAACCCCAATGAGTCACTGACATGAAGTGGCACCCACCTCCAGTAGACTTGACCTCGCACAGAACCAAGTCATCTCCCAGACACAGCTTCTCCTGAGCATGGGCTACGATCTCTGCCACAACCGTATCCATGGGAACCTTGATGGTGCTGTAGGTGTGATCAGCACAATACACCTTGAAGATGTCTGCAATAATGTATAAACAGTAAGGTGAGGTGAAATTGGGTTTAACGTCGTGTTTCAGAATATTTAACGTTGTGCTTGACGATTTGGCGCATGCATGTGCATGTGGTATGTGTGTACGTGCGGCTGCTTGTACTAGCCCAGACTGAAGTTGGTTTTATAGTGCTAGCTCACTGAGATACAATGCTGCAGTGAAGCATGAATACCCCACTCAGACACATTATACTGACTCCGAGCCGGCCAGTCCTTGTTGTACCCATTAATGACGAGCGCCAGGCAGGGACCAACAAGTACCATACTTTAACATCTTTTGGTATGACGCTCTCCGGGCGGACGCTCTAACCACTACATCACAGAGGCCGTCTATAAACAGTTAGGATTTGAAGGGTGTTGGTATATTTGAACTCAAATATTTTCAAATCTGATTGTTTCACAACAACATAGGAAGCCCTATAGGGCCATTCTATGGGGTTTTTTTTCTTGAAATTTCAAGTTGAAACTTCAAGTTACTAAGTTGAAAGTTGTGATTTCAACTTTTTATATTGAAATTTCAAGTAAATAAAATAAATGGCCCTAAAAGGCTTCAATGAAAACCTGGTACCTCTATAATCAAAACTATCTGCATACATATACAATTTTAAATCACCTTTCCAAACAATCCATTATATTTAAACATTTTCTAGGATATTTCATTTACAATAAAGTACCTTAAGCTTTCATAAGTCTACAGTATCTAACACACCGAGATGCCAACCATTCTGATTTTGAAAGAATTATTCCAATTTTCAAATACAAAATCTGCTCTCCAATTTGTCTTATAAAAACTAAGATTTTTTAGAAAAAAATATGAATTTTTTGTATAGGTATACAGTTTCATAAGTCACCGGTGATTTATATGAGTCAACACCATTAGAAGCATTCAGAAGCTGCACCTGGATCTTTTGGGTGTCGATTGTGTATATTGTGTGTTATTTGGCGACAAAGTTTCATGAAGTTTTTTCGAATGCATGTCTTAGTCTGTATGTAAGTGTTAAGTCTTGCGCTCACTCCCATCTCACACCTTTGGTGCTCTGGTAAGGCTTTCGGCCTGGCATGACTTCACTTTCATCAGATTCAGGGTTAGCATCTCTGAACACATTATGAGTGAGTGAGTGAGTGAGTGAGTGAGTTTAGTTATACACCGCACTCAGCAATATTCCAGCTATATGGCAGCGGTCTGTAAATAATCAAGTCTGGATCAGACAATCCAGTGATCAACAGCATAAGCATCGATCTATGCAGTTGGGATAAAATGACATGTGTCAACCAATTCAGTGAGCCTGACCACCCCATCATGTTAATTGCCTGTTATGAAAAGCATGGGTTACTGAAGATCAATTCTAACCCGGATCTTCACGGGTGAACACATTATGAGCATTGATATTGGTCTCAATACCATGAGCAGCAAAAGACTGCATACTGATTATTTATAGACCATTGGCATGGAACAGATGGCAGACTCTCCCCTTCTAAAAGGTCTTTTGTTCTGTTTTTCAGTACCATAAATCAACACCCAGAGGATTGATCATGGCTTGCAAAAATCTATGACAGTGACCTCAATAACTCTTGACATCAATGGGCTTTCATATTGGCCATGATTATATATCTACTGTAACTCATTCATTGTGTATATTGAACAAAAATATATTAGTATGGCTGGATGTTTTAGTCATGTATTTTCTTTTTCATTTTGCTTGTGGGGAGGGTTGAAATTCTTTGCTGATAGCAAATAAAATAAGTTGTCCTGATAAATGAATTTAACAGGCATGTTTCTAAAATTCTTTTTCCATAAAGGTGCACTTTTAATTGCCTTACAAAACATCTAGCAAAAGGAGCTTGCCTTTACCTACACATCAGCTTACCGGTAAGCTTCGGTTATTTCAAAGATAAATATCCTCATTCCAAATTTTGTGCATTTAAATTAACAGGGATGAGAATAAAGTTTTGAGAAAAACTCTGAAAACTTGCCGAAGCTCCTGATATTTAGGCATTTTAGACTTTTAAAACTGGCTCAGAAATGACAATATCATGAACACAGCAACCATTAAAAAACTTTAAATCTGCTGAAGCACATTCATACAATTGTCAACGGATTTAGACGATTCACAAAAATGACCCTTGGCCTTATGAAATTCCCGGAATTTCACGGATCTGCGGAAAATTCTCATCCCTGAATTAATATAGTTGTCCAACATAGACTATCCAACTATTTCAGGCTATTTCAAGCAATGAAACTATTTCAGGCTATTTCAAGCAATGAAAGAAATTCTCAAAGCAACTAAACACGACCCAAATGAACTGTAAAGTAACCGCAAAGCAACTAAAAGCAATGAAAAACAACTAAAAGCAATGTAAAGTAACCGTAGGCAAGCAATAATGACATAGTCCATCTACTCCTCCCCAAATATTTGAGGGTTGGTTGGCGTGTTGTTTAACACAGTTTATTCCAGCAATATGACCGCGGTCTGTAAATAATCAAATCTGGACCAGATGATCCAGTGATCAACAGCTTGAGCATGATCTACGCAATTGGGATATGAGCAAGCCTGACCACACGATCCCGTTAGCCACCTTGTAAGACAAGCATGGGTTACTTGAAGACCAATTCTTACCCGGATCTTCACGTGTATATATAATGTTTGAGGGAGACAATAGCCACCTACTTTCATCTGAGGGCTTAATGGGTCTCCTCTTCTTGGAAGTTTCACTCAGACTGATCTTGGAGGCCTTCCGGCTGAGGATCAGCACTGGAGTAATCTTTCTTTTGGCCAGCTTCCCTTCCGGTGGAGAACTGCAACAGTGAGTTAGTGAGTGAGTGAGTGAGCGAGTGAGTTTGGTTTAAATCTGATCTGTCAGCACTGACAGCGCTGGAAACAATTCAAGGTCAAACAGTAGCAGTCATATTTTAACCCATGAATGAGTCTTTTCAACAGCATAAGCATCGATCTACACAACTGGGATACAATGACGTGTCAACCAAGTCGGCGAGCCTGACCACCCGATCCCGTTAGTCACCTCTTATGACAATCATGGGTTGCTGAAGACCAATTGTAACCCCGATCTTCACAGGAATACTCCAGGATTAACTCTCATCAGCTTTACTTGATTTTCAGGAGATACTCTCATTTGATGTTACAGCGTAAGAAACGATTTACGCAACTGGGATGCGATGACATGTGTCAACAAAGTCAGAGAGCCTGACCACCCGATCCTGTTATTTGCCTCGTACAACAAGCATGTTTTGCTGAAGATCAATTCTAACTCGGATCTTCTTGGGTCCTGCCGTCAGGTAAACAGGTAAACAATTCAACCAGGTAATCCTAATTAGTCAGGTCAAATCTTGTGCTTTGGAGTCAATGTCAGAGTCATCATTTGGTCATATTTTAACTATGAAATTTACTCTTAAAACAAGATCAAAAGTCCAGACAATTAAAAACATTTGATGGTTTCGTACAAAACGATTACAATATTGCAAATTCATGTTCAGTTCAAAAGTAAGTTAAAATTTAAAGTCACTTTGGCAATATTTCAGCCATATCGTGACTCAGTTCATAAGTCATACAGCATGAAAACATCATATACATCATCTAACAACATAACTGTTCCCAACTTAATATCAGGAAATAATTTAGGATTCCAAACTACTTCATTTTTGGGGAAAATTGTGCAATTGTTCAAAAATTATTTTTTTCTAAATGTCTAACATTCCCAAATCTTGAGGATATGCAAACAAAATTATTCAGACTTTGGCTGAATATTGGCCTGTGAGCAGGTCCACATACAACCCTGTGAGCAGGTCCAGATACAACCCTGTGAGCAGGTCCAGATACAACCCTGTGAGCAGGTCCAGATACAACCCAGTGAGCAGGTCCACATACAACCCAGTGAGCAGGTCCAGATACAACCCAGTGAGCAGGTCCAGATACAACCCAGTGAGCAGGTCCACATACAACCCTGTGAGCAGGTCCAGATACAACCCAGTGAGCAGGTCCACATACAACCCTGTGAGCAGGTCCAGATACAACCCAGTGAGCAGGTCCAGATACAACCCTGTGAGCAGGTCCACATACAACCCTGTGAGCAGGTCCAGATACAACCCAGTTAGCAGGTCCACATACAACCCAGTGAGCAGGTCCAGATACAACCCAGTGAGCAGGTCCACATACAACCCAGTGAGCAGGTCCACATACAACCCAGTGAGCAGGTCCACATACAACCCAGTGAGCAGGTCCACATACAACCCAGTGAGCAGGTCCACATACAACCCAGTGAGCAGGTCCAGATACAACCCAGTGAGCAGGTCCACATACAACCCAGTGAGCAGGTCCAGATACAACCCTGAGTGAGCAGGTCCACATACAACCCTGAGTGAGCAGGTCCACATACAACCCAGTGAGCAGGTCCACATACAACCCAGTGAGCAGGTCCAGATACAACCCAGTGAGCAGGTCCACATACAACCCAGTGAGCAGGTCCAGATACAAGCCTGGAAAGCACACATATGTCTGGCCTGAGGAGTCTGCATGGACTTACTTGCTTTTTGACTGCACAGCAATCATCTCCAGGAGCTCCAGCTCCTCTGACAGAGCTGGGTAGATGATGCTGTCTTCTTCAACAGCATGCTGCAGCTCCTGTTGATATAAACAACAGCACACATCTACATCACAATCCTCTCTAACAGAAGCAAGCATATACAGTCTGTTTGGGTCAAAATGATACTGATGAATCACAATATAACTCCAAATCGGTTCATGATCAAACATTCATTTCAATGCAGAAGGTAATGAAAACATCAGACCGTGTGTAAAACTTTACATGGAAAGTCAAAACAAAACGATGAGAGTTTTGCTAAGTAACATTTTTATTTTGGAGACAAAGTTTCTGAATGTTTTTTCCAGAATTGGTCTGATGTTTCATTACATTCTGTGTGGAAGTGAATGTTTGATCATTAACTGATTTAGAGTTAGATTGTGATTGTGAAAAGTGTAAGACAATTAGTTTGCCCTAAGGATATACAGATTTCTAATACAAATTTACTTGAAACATTTCTATTCTTTTTCTGCTATGGTATTGGATGCGAAGCGTTTTGCCATGATTGTTGTCTCAAATGAACATCACTGGTATCTAAAGGGACATAACTCTTGCATGCTTAAAAACTATTTTTGAGGGATTAGCAATTTCAGATAATACCACTTTTTCAGATACATCTTGAGGTCCAATCATTTGCTCTTCATAGATAAACATAAACACATCAGAAACGTTTGATAAAAGAACTTTTCATGAAAATAATAGTTTAACAAAATAGTGAATTGATTTCAATGCCAAAGGTCGTAAAAGAGTCAAGGTCGTCCATAATACATATTGGAACAGAGAAAGATTGATTAATACTACCCATGACCCTTTAATGTATGGTTTCATATGCATTGGCTAATGACCAATCAAAATTCTTCTAGTTTATCATATGGTTAATAAAGTACCTAATTATGACGGATAGCTATATATGTATCGTATCATCCCAAGGTTTGCAGTCAAGATTTACATTTAAACTTCATGTAAAATGTTTTAAGAATCATATCATTATAAAAGCAAAAAGTGAAAAGCACTGTTTTCACAGTTGTATTTCAAGCTTATCACATGTTGATTACCATCAAAATACTGTTTCCAGGCTTCATATCCTGCTCTAAGTGCACAAGATTATCATTACTGTCAGATTAGCATTACCCTGAATAACACAAGCTGCCTGTCAGGGGCTAGAAGGTTAATAGTCACATATCATCATATCCCACCAGGTACCCATTTTCTGCTGGGTGAACAGAGAGAATTTTGAACAAACTCACTTGCCTAAGGTAAGACCATGTGTATCATCACAATACTGTTTCAATAGTCAACAACTATCATAATACCATTGAAATATTCAACATCTATCACAATACTGTTTCAATAGTCAACAACTATCACAATACTGTTGAAATATTCAACATCTATCACAATACTGTTGCAATAGTCGACAAACATCACAATACTGTTGCAATAGTCGACAAACATCACAATACTGTTGCAATGGTTGACAACTATCACAATACTGTTGCAATGGTTGACAACAACTATCACAATACTGTTGCAATGGCTGACAAATTGTTGAAATAGTCAACATCTATCACAATACTGTTGAAATAGTCAACATCTATCACAATACTGTTGAAATAGTCAACATACTGTTGAAATAGTCAACAACTATCACAATACTGTTGAAATAGTCAACAACTATCACAATACTGTTGAAATAGTCAACAACTATCACAATACTGTTGAAATAGTCAACATCTATCACAACACTGTTGAAATAGTCAACATCTATCACAACACTGTTGAAATAGTCAACATCTATCACAACACTGTTGAAATAGTCAACATCTATCACAATACTGTTGAAATAGTCAACAACTATCACAATACTGTTGAAATAGTCAACAACTATCACAATACTGTTGAAATAGTCAACAACTATCACAATACTGTTGCAATGGTTGACACTACTATCACAATACTGTTTCACTGTGTGGTGTACTATTGCCTCACAATCACAGCAGTGAAAACAGTCCCAATAGACACAGACATATTGCCTTACCTCCATAAAATGCCTGATGACCTTATCATCATAAAAATCTTCACAAACAACGTTCTGCCACTCTTGTACAAACAGGACCACACTGCGCTTTGTGAGTCTCCATGTACTCGGCTATCTCCTGGTCAGTTCCCTGTGTGGCCGCAGCATGGTAGCTCTCTCGTCAAGGAATCACTAGACGTATGTCACACATACACCACCTGCTCTCATCCGTCTCACATACTGAGTGAGTGATTGGGGTTATAGCCGCTTTTAGCAATATCTTTTAGCAGAAATATCACGGCAGGGGACACCAGAAATGGACTTCACACAAAGTGCCCATCTGGGGAATCAAACTCGGGTCTTTAGCATGACGAGTGAACACCTTAACCACTATGCTACCCCACACCCCACCGCCCCAGTCTCACATAGTATATTGTATACACTGGTTCAATTTGCGGAATATGAAAAATACAATTTACTTTTTTCATTTTTGTAGAGTGCTGTATCTGTAATGTAAGTTTCCACACAAATATCACCTCAATGAGACTGTGTCATGTGACCTCTACTTCACTCCCACCCTCACTCACAATTCAGAGATAAACATTCATTCAAGATTTGCATACATTGTTGTGACACATACATGATTTCACTCTATGACATCATGCTGATCTGAAGATTTAATTAATGTGCTATTAATTTTGCCATGACAATTGGCAAATATTTTGTTCTTAAAATTTAGGTAAAGAAAGTGAGTGAGTATGGTTTTACACCGCTGTTAGCAATGTTCCAGCAATATCACGGCTGGGGACAGCAGAAATGGGCTGCACACATTGTACCCATGTGGGGAATCGAACCCGAGTCTTTGGCATGACGAGCGAATGCTTTAACCATTAGGCTACCCCACCGCCCCCTAGGTAAAGAAAGAAATCATTTATCACAAAAAGCGATAATACCAAAAGATATATTGGAATCAATCCCATGTAACAATACTTCAACCAATCAAAGTGCTGTATTCTCTTAGTCATTCATTTTACAATCTCTGTTAAAGATTGTCACCAAGGATACTGGTTCATCAGAGCCTGGCACAGTCTCTCATTGGGCATAAAGATCACTTGAGTCAGCAAAAAATCTTCCAGGAAATTATCTGCAAAATGAAATAACTAATCACAGATTAAACTCAATCAAGTATGACAAACACAACCCATTGAAATAGACAAGTTAACATTGAAAATATGCTCGGGTAACCAGCACAAAAGTTTGAATCTTAGGCTTAAATTACCAATACTTGTAGTAATTGTCATGTATTACCAATCCTTTTCCGCATATGAATCCTAATGTCACATGTAACCAGGGGAGATAACTCTCATTAAAAACGTATGCCTAGAGCACATGGCCAGAACTGAGTGTTGTGTCATGTATTGGATTGAATTCCGGAAAGCAATAAGCTGTAACTGACAAAGTGATCACACTAATGTGAATATTACATTTCAAAAACAAGATTAAAGCTTGCATCAAACTCAATATAAATGGAAAGTGAAGAATAAAAAAGGGTCAAATGTCACTTACGCTTACGTTTGGAGAGGGCAGCCACCTCCAGGGCCGTATCCTCCGTGGACTTCTCTACCGGCAGCCAGGTCTCCAGCAGGTGCTCCAGCATCTTCTCAGGTGTCCCAGCCATCACCGAATACCTGGCATCAAAACGATCCTCAGTTATTCAGTATATCATAAGTCCTTTCCACTATGGGTCCGTTTGTTTGTTTATTGTTTAACAATGCAATATTCCAGCTATATTATAGCCGTGATCTGGGTTAGAACTGATCTTCAGTAACCCATGATTGTCGTAAGAGGCTACAAACAGGATCGGGTGGTCAGGCTCGCTGACTTGGTTGACAAATGTCATCATATCCCAGTTGTGTAGATCGATGCTCTTGCTGTTGATCACTGGATTGTCTGGTCCACACTCGACTATCTACAGACTGCCACCATATAGCCGGAATATTGCTGAGTGCAGCGTAAAACTAAACTCACTCACTCACTCCAGCTATTGACATCATGAACATTGGGATATGATGACAAGTGTCAACCAAGTCAGCAAGCCAAGCCACACAATCTCATGTGTCGTCTCTTATGACAAGCATGGGTTGCTGAAGGTCAATTCTGCTTAACTGTCACTTGGAAGGGATATGATGAGTTTAACATCACCAGAACATACCATCTGCTACATCAAATCAGCCATTGGACCCATTTATGGCATCCTAAAAATAATTCCGAAGGGCTAGCTGAAGTGTCAGCCTTTCAAAGGAAATCTATCAAAGGCATTGGTTGGTTGTTTGGTTGGTTTGTTGTTTAACGCCACACTCAGCATTATTCCAGCTATAGCTATATGGTGGCAGTCTGTATGTATTGGAGTCTGGACCAGACAATCCAGTGATCAACAACATGAGCATCGAGAAGGAAGAGCAAACTGTGCCAAGTAGCAAAATGAAGGGCACACAATGATAGGTGGGAGGACATCATCAAGGATACTGGCACATCAATACCAGTGGAGCCTCTGAGTGAACACCCCTGAGTGTTGTGTGATTGTTGGCGAAAAACTTATTACAAATCATTTTATTACTTGGTGACATAAAGTCATTGACATTGGCATAATTGTGACATATTGTAGATGTTGAGTTAAATGTCATCATAAATGACAGCGTTTAAAATTTCCGCCTGCCCAACTGTCTGGAACGGTCTATTTTCATCTCGGACGGTCAAATTTCAAAAGTAGCCTGTCCGGTGGTCTGGTAGATATTTTTACCCCTAATAGTAAATATTTCATAATATCACACATGTTTTCTTGTCCTCAGTTTGAAGTGTTTAAGGTATTATGAAAATTATATTAAACTACTTAGATTGGACAGTTCTAGTTACGATAACCAATTTCAGTTTACCCAAACTCGGTTCATTGCCTGTTAGTGCTATGTAGTTCATTGTGAATGGAGCTTGCGCGAGTTGGAAATGGCAGTCACAGTTTTTATTGTTGAAAACCGGACAGGCAAGTTTGTATCCGGACTGGTAATTTTTTAAAGTTACAAGTCCAGCTGTCTAGCTTGGAATTTTGGGAGTTTTAGACAATGTAAATGACTGTAATAATCTGATTGTCATGAAGTTACCCACACCCAAAAGATCATGTACACGACATTTCATCATTAGCAATGCTCAAGTTACATTGATTTAGAATAGACAAGCTTTTGTTCAATACAGTTTGAAATGAGTGATTTTCACTTTCAATGTCATCCAGTTATATGTCATAAAAGTTCTCCAGGGATAGATAGGAGACGTGTGTAGCCAACAGTCAAAACACCACCATTTTGAATTGTTTGTTTGTTGTTTAATGCAGAACCCAGCAATATTCTAGCTATATGATGGAAGTCTGTAAATAATCGAAGCTGAACCAGATAATCCAGTGATCAACAGCATGAACATCGATCTACACGATTTCGATACGATGACATATGTCAACCAAGTCAACAAGCCTGACCACCTGCCCGTTCATCACCTTTTACAACAAGCATGGGTTCCATTTTGATGTTACATCTAAGCAACCCAAAGGTTACAGCAGGACTGGCAAAAACAGCTGATGAACATACTTGTAGTGAGCCCGCACAGTCCCGTCAGGGCCTTCAATGTTTGTAGGGATCTTCTCCAGGACCAGTACGTCTTCTCCATGCTCCTTCAGACGCACTGTATTAGCCTCCACGTCCTGACAACACATATCATTATACATGCAGAAAGAGACCAATGGCCAACGTGACAAGTTTACTTCTCAAAACTACAGAGCCAAAATGCCCTCTTTGCATTGAAGCGGACATATATAGTCCAAGTCATGTGATGGGATTCAAGCCATGGACCATTTGATCTGAGTTCTGATGTCAGGAACAGGTTGAACATCAGCATGTCAAGGAGCGTTGGCACTCAAAAGATCCTTTATATTTTTTCGCCTAACAAACACTATTCAGGGACCTGTCGTTTGTTATACAATGTGGTTCCTTCATCCATAGAGTAAAACCGGAAAACATTTTTAAAAAAGACCACATTTGTCTCATCCTCCACTGTCTATTAACAAGAATATAAGTTGCTAAAGTAGCTTGTTGAAGCTGAAAGTCTTCAGAAGAAGAAGTTAAGTACATGGTGACTCAGCTAAAACTGGTTTTCCTCAGCAGCCTATTTAAGTGATTAAGGTGTAATCAGTACCCAGTCAGGTGCACATCAATTACTCATTCCACAACAAGGCTTGGTTAGTCTAGGATTGACTTGTCAATTGACAATATCAAATGGTCAATTTGCTCTGATTGTTTCTGCCACAACAGCCATATTGATTTTTGTAAAGTTGAAGGTAACCAAAAATTGCAAGTTAGAACATCACAGAGCACTTGATGAAAAATCAGGTTCTGGAGCTAACCTTTGTAAATGTGACAAGACTCAGACATGAAAGATCTTTTGTTACATGCTCAAAAAAGGAGAAGCATCAAAGATCAACAAAGGTAGCTACTTAACAAAAGGTAAACCACTTCAGATATTTTCTGTATATGTTTATTCATTTGTTTAACACAGAACTCAGCAGTGATTATGGTTTTACGCCGCTTTTAGCAATATTCCAGCAATATCACGGCGGAGGACACCAGAAATGGGCTTCACACATTGTACCCATGTGGGGAATCAAACCCCGGTCTTCGGTATGACCTCTAGTACTTTTGTTGGGTTGAGTCCCATCTGGGAATCAAAACCACACCCTCTGAGAGTCAGGGACCTAATCGCCAGCACACAAAGTCAGCCGCTTAACCCGCTCAGCCACATTTGACCACATTCTAAATGGCATTGTGCATTCACTGTAAAATGTACTGAGCATAGGCAGATCCAGAAGGGGATGTCCTGAAAGTTTATTCAATGACCATTGAAACTCCTGTGAAAACAGGTGAAAATGCCCCTGCTGAGGGATATAGCAAACTGTCCCAGATGGGACTCAACCTAACAAAGGTGCTAGAATCTTCACTTTACTGAGGTGTAATCCCAAAATGTAACATTTGCTACATTTGACCATTAGAATTCTAAATGGTATTGGGTATTCTTGAGTGTGTATGTTTTTCATGTTTTTCACCACAAAGATCTTCCTACCCTCAAAATCCTGTTGAAATCGTCTTTGTCAACACGAAGAAAGTGACAGCTGTCTTCTCTCAAGACAATTGTGGCAGCTCTGAAGCAAATAATATAAATGATCATTAAAAATGAAATCATTTAGACTGAATTCAGGGGGTCGAAAATAGCTTATCAAATCATTAAACACTGTGGAATACATATTCAGTTGAGAAATATTTTATTCTGATAAGGAATACACTCCAGGTTCACAGTGTCAGTAGTTGATTCTCTTTAATCTAACATTGAAATCTCCATCTAAAACACAAAACTTTGTTGCAAGTGTAACATCAAATGCAGAGTATCTCCTGAAAATCAAGTAAAGCTGATGAGAGTTAATCCTGGACTATACCTGTGAAGATCGGGGTTAGAATTGGTCTTCAGCAACCCATGATTGTCATAAGAGGCGACTAACGGGATCGGGTGGCCAGGCTAGCTGACTTGGTTGACACATGTCATCGTATCCAAATTGCGTAGATTGATGCTCATGCTGTTGATCACTAGATTGTCTGGTCCAGACTCGATTATTTACAGACTGCTGCCATATAGCTGGAATATTGCTGAATATGGCGTAAAACTAAACTCACTCACTCATCCTCGACTATAATTGATAAGATGAAGGCGTAGCACAATTGTGTTCCATAAAGCCTACCTTGGGGCATCATTCACGAGTGCAAGCTTGCCAAAGTCATCACCTTCATGAAGAGTGCACACAATCCCCTGAAACAAGATTATTGGGTGGTCAAGAATTTCCGTAATACTGTACCAATGTCAATGATAAGCAGTGTAAAACCATATTCACTCAATCATGATAAACTGATAACTGTGGCCATGTTCAGGAACCTGAGTCTTCTATCTGAGGTGGTTTGGCTTTCAGTGACTGAGAGTGTATAAATAGAGAATACTACACAAGGTCTCATTACATACGAATTATACGAAATGAGTGTCCTTCCTATGGTATCTGACCGAGCGAACCATAGTAGGTCACTAATTTCGTATGAGACCGAGTGTGGTATTTTATTTATTACCAACGTCTTACATGCATTAAATTGACAAAATAGCGTATTTTTGTTATGTTTATGGTTTCAAACCAAAACCGGTTTCATAAAGAGGTTGCGGAAGAATTTTGTTCTGCAGTACACTTTTTCATGACGTCACACTGTATTGACGTCACTATGCCATTTTCGTCTGCTCCCTTGGTAACCGACGACACGTTGTCATCGCCTCATACCGCCTCCTACAGTAAATTTCTCCGTTGCACCCCATTCCTTGGTTTGCAGTTGCTTCACTTGGCTAACATCACTGGTGGAAACATTACATTTATGTTTTTCGACGGATATGTTTCAGTTCGACATACACTACACAATATTTCTGTCTGTATACATCAGAACCCCAACTTCTTACCTTGCCGTATATGACAACATTGACGGATCCCTTGAGGATGATGTACCATGACTTGCCCTCATCTCCCTGGTTGAACACTGCAAGATGATACAACATTACATCAGTCACATTCAAGACTATTGCATTTACAGTCAAACTGTGTCAAAGCTGACTTACCGGAATTACCTTATTTTGAAATACTGTGGATTCCGTATAATCCAAAATCTGAATTATCCGACAATCTGTGAATTCCGACATATTTTTTGGGTCCCAGCAGCGTTCTTCTATACATTCATAGTAATACTATAAATTTCAAGCAAGGAGACATTGAATTATCCGATACTCTGTATAATCCGACATTTTTTCACGGTCCCAGTGAGTGAGTGAGTCCACTGTACCAAAATACTTCGGGTTATCCAATGTTTGATAACTGACTAAATAGGGGATATAAGGGGACCTAGATTTTACCGTGTGACAACTGTAAATTCAGTGAGTTTAGTTTTACGCCGCACTCAGCAATATTCCAACTATATGGCAGCAGTCTGTAATAATCCAGTCTTGACCAGCCAATCCAGTGATCAACAGCATGAGCATCGATCTGCGCAATTGGGAGCCGATGACATGTGTCAACCAAGTCAGCGAGCCTGACCACCCGATCCCGTTAGTCGCCTCTTACGACAAGTATGGGTTACTGAAGATCAATATTCTTCATGGATCTTCATGGGTCACAGACATTGAAATCAAAGATCCAAGACATAGTTTCCTTGTCAATATCTGGTATTTACCGGAGATCAAAATGCTCCAGATTTAATTACGGCCAGTACAATCATGTTTCACTAGCATCTCTTACTTACAGACAGTTCCAGCCTTGGCATGGGATTCAAAGAGAAGGACACTGGCCAGTTCCCTCTTCACCATAGTGGACAAGTGAGACAGAGCCTTGATGTGCAGCAGCTCCTCGTAGATGATCTCCAGGTCCTCGGGTGTCCGTTCATGGGCCCTACACAACCAGCCATTCAATGACATCCAAGCAAACCAATGATCCAAAAGTATAAACTTCCTACTAGACATCTAAAGAGTAAATTATATTCTGCATTGTGCATTATATATCTTTAAGCCTTGGCTGTTGTTCTACTTTTATGTTATAACCATAGTACTGAGCTTAAGATATAATTAAGCTTTAAGCTATATATATAATAGCAAACCTCGTGGAGTTTTGTTAGCTAATACATTTTATAATGTAACCATACTGCTTAAGATATGATGAAACTTAAGCTAATTGTATAATAGCAAAAACCCTTTAGAGTTTGTTAGCTAAAAATACTTATATGATATAAACCTAGTATTGAGTTTAAGTGAAGGAAACCTTTTAAGCTACATATATAATAGCAAAACTCCGTAGAGTTTGTTAGCTAATATACTTATATGATATAAAACATAGCATTGAGCTTTTGATAGCATTGAGCTTAAGATTTGAAGGAAACTTAAGTTACATATATATACAGCAAAACCTCGTAGAGTTTGTTAGCTAATACAAGTTATAATGTAACCATAAAGCTTAAATTATGATGAAACTTAAGCCAAATATATAATAGCAAAAACTCTTTTAGAGTTTTGATAGCTAAAATACCTATATGATATAAAATATAGTACTGCGCTTTTAAGATATGAATAAGCTTAAGTTACATATAGCAAAACCTCGTGAGGAGTTTGTTAGCTAATACATGTTCTTGTCTTTTTTATTCAGTGTTTATTGGTTATTAAATTTTGCCCCTCCTGAGAGCTTCATTTGTTCTTGCATACCAAGGAAGGGTAAATAGTTATATAACAATGTTAAACCGTTACTAACAAAAGATAATAAATTGTCATAACACAAGGGATGGTAAACTCAGAAATGGTATTGAAAGTCATGTAATGTGGAATGTTAAGCTGTGATACAACCATGTGATGTAACAAGGAATGATAAAATTGCTGTACAAAAAGGAATATAAAACTGTCATGTACCCAGTAATGATAAACTGTTGCATTACATGGAATGGTAAACTACTGTACAAAGAGGAATGGTAAACTACTGTAAAAAAAGGAATATAAAACTGTCATGTAACCAATAATGATAAACTGTTGCATTACATGGAATGGCAAACTACTGTACAAAAAGGAATGGTAAACTACTGTACAAAAAGGAATATAAAACGGTCATGTAACAAGAGAATGATAAATTGTGTAACAAGGAATGGTACACTTTAGTTGTGTGAAAACCATTTCTGGTGTCCCCCGCCGTAATATTGCTAGAATATTGCTAAAAGTGGCCTACAACCATACTCACTCACTCACACTTTAGTTCTGGAATTACTTACGGTTTACGCAGTATCATCCTCATCATGGCATCAGGTCCGATTTGTGCCAGCAGTGCCAGGGTCTCCCCCAATTCCTCCTCACATTCCTTCCTCACCCCCGACGTCGGTACCGTCCCCACCCCCTCGTCGTCCTCACAGAACCGATAGAACAAGTACTTGTCTTTGAACTGATGCTGATGACACACTGCAGGAAACAACAGGGAAACCTTTTCTCAAACATTTCTTAAAATTTTTCCCAAAACACTTTGTTAGCAGACATGCTTGATGTATAGTGGCATCTCTTGTCTTAGAAATATGTTGTACATCTGGAACTGTGTGAGTGACAGAGATTCATTCCATTTTGAAAAATAATCCATCCAAATCTTTTCTCATCCTTTAGCATATCAAACTGTTTACATTCATGTTAATAAATGTACATAGTTCCTACACCACTCGTACCTGCCAACTGTCACTCATTTGACGTGAGAATCACGCATTTTCATACAAGATCACGCTCTCATGACCACACAGTGAAATCTCACGCATTTCCAAAACTTATAAGTCAAATATGAATAAAATTGAAATTTAATCGTAAATTCACTACAAACTGCATTTGGATCATAATAGACAAGATTTTACAAGTCATTTATCTCCATTCTCCGGTCTCCAAAAGTGTTTAGAAAGTGCTAAATCCTTTTTTCGGTTGGGGGTCTCCACACCCCTTGAGCCCTGACCCAGCTTTTGGAAAATATCACTCACTGGAAACATTTTAGGTTGGAAGCCCTACACCACTGGTCAAATGATACTTAAATCAATTGCATGGTTGATAGTATTTTAACAAGAACACATACAGTAAGACAGTTGTACCATACAACAAGTGCACACATGACGTTGACCAGCCACTGACCATGTACAATGACCCCCTCCTCCAGAAGGGCTTGCCACATGCCCACCGCCTGGTTCCGGGAGTGGACGAGGGTACTTGGCTGCAGCAGCCAGTCCACCATTTCAGATCCCACCATGCATCTGCGATAGGTACGGAGGTGATACTTCCTGTCTCGGATCATGTGGGGAGCTCGTGTCAGTAGCACTGTTCGTATCACGTGACCTCCATGTAATAACTTCTCCGAAGGCATCTTAGTAAAAGCAGAAGTAACTTAATAAGATGTCTACATAAACAGAATATATTGGTAAAAAGATTTGTTTTGATTATGTATTCTTCATATATCAATAATTTTAAAGGAATAGTAATGAGCTTCCTACAGCTGTGATGGGACTCTGACAAGAAGGTAAGTGCAGTACTTACAACTGTGATGGAACACTGACAAGTAAGTGCAGTACTTACAGCTGTGATGGGACACTGACAAGAAGGTAAGTGCAGTACTTACAGCTGTGATGGGACACTGACAAGAAGGTAAGTGCAGTACTTACAACTGTGATGGGACACTGACAAGTAAGTGCAGTACTTACAGCTGTGATGGGACACTGACAAGAAGGTAAGTGCAGTACTTACAACTGTGATGGAACACTGACAAGTAAGTGCAGTGATGGGACTCTGACAAGAAGGTAAGTGCAGTACTTACAACTGTGATGGAACACTGACAAGTAAGTGCAGTACTTACAGCTGTGATGGGACACTGACCAGAAGGTAAGTGCAGTACTTACAGCTGTGATGGGACACTGACAAGAAGGTAAGTGCAGTACTTACAGCTGTGATGGGACACTGACAAGAAGGTAAGTGCAGTACTTACAGCTGTGATGGGACACTGACAAGAAGTAAGTGCAGTACTTACAGCTGTGATGGGACACTGACAAGAAGGTAAGTGCAGTACTTACAGCTGTGATGGGACACTGACAAGTAAGTGCAGTACTTACAACTGTGATGGGACACTGACAAGAAGGTAAGTGCAGTACTTACAGCTGTGATGGGACACTGACCAGAAGGTAAGTGCAGTACTTACAGCTGTGATGGGACACTGACAAGTAAGTGCAGTACTTACAACTGTGATGGGACACTGACAAGAAGAAAGTGCAGTACTTACAGCTGTGGAGGGACACTGACAAGAAGGTAAGTGCAGTACTTACAGCTGTGATAGGACACTGACAAGAAGGTAAGTGCAGTACTTACAACTGTGATGGAACACTGACAAGAAGGTAAGTGCAGTACTTACAGCTGTGATAGGACACTGACAAGAAGGTAAGTGCAGTACTTACAGCTGTGATGGGACACTGACAAGAAGGTAAGTGCAGTACTTACAGCTGTGATGGGACACTGACAAGAAGGTAAGTGCAGTACTTACAGCTGTGATGGGACACTGACAAGAAGGTAAGTGCAGTACTTACAGCTGTGATGGGACACTGACAAGTAAGTGCAGTACTTACAGCTGTGATGGGACACTGACAAGAAGGTAAGTGCAGTACTTACAGCTGTGATGGGAGCAGCAGGGTTCGGGAGGTCATCAATGTCAGTTGCTGTTGAGTACACAGATTTAGTTGTATGTTTCCTCATATCACCAGGGCGCTTTGTGTTTACATCTGACAAAAAGAATAAATACTCAGTTAAAAAACAATTTTTGTTCTTACAACTTCAATTATTTCCCAAAGCAGTTAACTATTGGAAAACATTTTGTAATGTTCACTGGAAAAAATGGCAATGTCGGAGTGGCACTACAAGAAATTTTGAAAAATAATGAACCTTCATTATATAAAATCCATTTTTCAAAACTTCCTTTTTCCTTGCGAAGGATGACTTAACAAGCACTGATGTAGTCATCCATATGACATCACACAGAGCAGTGTGTCCATGAGGAATGATGTCATAAGTTAATGTGTCTGTGCCCCTAAGTGTCATGTTGAACACTACAATCTGAATTCTTACCAGTTGTACAGCTAGTCCCTACTGTTACTTATTGTGAATGTCTTCCATTAGTGTGTTGTGTCCTTCAGGATGCTCTTGCATTGTTTTGTATAAGTTGTTATTGGTTTAACATGACAACTTTTCTATGCAATGTCTATGAAATGTCAGGGTTGTTATTCAATATTTTTTTAGTTTTATAGTTCAGATGCAGCTGATAACCTTTTAACATCTATAGCAGTATCCGTAACATCTGCCAATCATGTACTATGACCTTTATCTCCAGTGATGTACTTCAAAAATATTTATCCTTTCAATTTAATGACGGCCACAAGGTCATAAATTCCAGCAGTAAAAGTATTTACTGGCTCAAGATTCATATTTTTATATTGGAAATAAAAGAAATCTTCTAAGGCATTGTTTTGTTTTTATACAGCAAATGAATATCTCAACATGAAATATATTAGGTTAGGGCAGTGGGGTAAGTTTGTGGTTAAAGCATCCAGGTTCAATTCCCCACATGGGTACAATGTGTTAAGCCCATTTCTGGTGTGCACCCCAGTGATACTTTGCTGGAATGTTGCTGAAAGTACCATGAAACACTCACTCACTCACTCACTCACTATTAGGTTATGTTCTTCACGAGTTTTCAGAGGCTTCTTTAATTGTCACCAACAACATTTTGCCCTTTCTTGTCACTGTGTCTTGTATGTGCTTAATCCAATACTGTACAGAGTTAGCATAATATATATGGATAAAAAACTTCTTTATAACATTTAGGAGACACACAAACAACCTAAAATGAGACAACCAACTTGCGACAACCACCTCGAGATAACAACCTTGAGACAACCACCTTGAGACTAAGTATATCCACTCATCCCAGCACCTTTCAAAGTTCGAGGATCCGTATACCCCCAAGCTCCTCCAATCAAGCTTCCCTCTAGCGCCCCAAGGTGGGAGAACCTACACCAAAATGTCACTCTTAATAATATAGATGTTCAGAAGTTGTTATATCTTATTTCCATATTTGTTATCATTACTTAGTCCTCCACCTTCTATATGCCTTTCAAAGGTCTTCAGATGGAAAACAACTGGGAACACCTTCGTTCACACATTTTTCACTTAATGAGGTGTTCGAAGGTTTATATAATCTTTTCATCAGCTCATCCTACCAGGTACCCATTAACTGCTGGGTGAACAGGGGCAGCTTTGAACATAGTAACTTGCCTAAGGCGACACCATACGTGTTGCATGTGCTTCAGGGTGGGGCAGGTTCAAAGCCATAGAAGCTCTCACAAGCCAGAATGCCAAAAATGGTCACCTGATAATCACCGCATGCACTGAAAAGTTAATCTGTGACCATTAATAAGGCAATTTCTTGTTCCTTTTGTTGCCTACAATACAATTCAGTGCTTCAAAATCATTTTCAAGTTGTACAGTACAACCAGAAATTATTGAGAATTTAAAGATTGTAATTTTTTTTAAAATTTTCACTCATTACTCACATATTAAATGTGAATATTAGCAGAACATAACTCCAGATTCAAAGACAGGTGAACAGTTAGCATTTTGTCAAGTCACCATGGGCAGCAATGCAGACTTCAATGCGGTGGGGCATACCACTGATCAAAGAAGTTAGAAAGTCGTGGTCCATGCTGTCCCAATATCGGACCATCTCTTCTTTCATTTCAGCAATATTTGTCAGATTTTTCTCATTGACACTTTCCTTCATAAGTCCCGAAACATTTTCTATTGGATTTAGGTCAGGGCTATAGCTTGGCCAATCTAATAATGTCATATACTAAACTCCGAATGTAACGCGACACTCGGTTGTCATTTACTCGTGATGATAGTATTTGACATGTGCATTTTTTTAGATAATAAGTACTGATTATGGTTGCATGGATGTCTTACGCAGGCATTCCATAGACACAATTCCTCATTTGCTGCCATTTCTGTCAACGCGTGTTTGTTCATATCAACACTGTCCCTGGCAAAACGCATAATCACTATACCCAAACGCAACCAGTGTCGCACCACTATCACATTCCCCGTGTCATTACCTGCACGTGCATGTGAAACTTATGTCACAGTCACATTTAGCACGTGCGAATCAGCAGAACCTGAATGTAACGTTCGTATGTAACGAATGTAACGAAATGCCATGACTGAATAATGATGCGAGATTACGGGCTCTAGGGATGCTTGATGCTGGCATGAGAGTTGCTAATGTTGCACACCAACTTGGTGTCCATCGTGCAACCATTTACAGACTTCAGGAACGCCATAACCAAACCAATAGATCGTCAGCGAAGTGGTCGCCCGAGGGTGACGACCAACAGACAGGATCGTTACATTGTGAACTCCCATTTACGTAACACATTCCTTCAAGCCACGACGACAGCCAATCAAACCATTGGTATCCACAATCGGCCTGATTCTGTGGCTACAATACGTCGACGTCTAAGGGCAAACGCACTACACTGTCATAGGCCCTATGTTGGTCCTATCCTAACTGCTCGACATCGACAACAGAGACTTCTGTGGGCACGACAGCACCAGAATTTGAGATACATGAAGTGGCGTAACATTGTCTTCACTGATGAGAGCCAATTTTTTACCCATGTCGCCGACGGCCGTGTCAGGATTTGGCGTCGAACAAATGAACGATTTCATGACCCCTGTGTTTTGGAAACCGACCGTTGGGGAGGGCCTTCCATTATGATCTGGGGGAGGAATCAGTTCGGGCAGGCAAGTACAGCCTGTCATCTTCCAAAACATCGGTTTTAGGTCGTGGAAGAGGTGTGACTGCACAATGTTATGTGGATGAGGTGTTGCGGCCTGTTGTCATCCCGCTTCTCGCTGCCAGACCCCAGTTGGTTCTCCAGCAGGACAACGCGAGAGCACACTCGCCAGACTCCCCCAACAATTCCTGACTGTCAATAACATCCAGACGATGAACTGGCCAGCTCTTAGCCCAGACCTCAACCCCATGGAACACCTGTGGGACGAGATTGACAGACGTCTACGTCAGAGACCAGCTCTCCCACGGAATCGGCGTCAGCTTGGACAATCAGTTTTAGATGTGTACAACAACATCCCCCGTGTCTTCATTAGGCATCTGTTCATGTCCATGAGGAGGCGTTGTTTGGCTGTCGTCAACAATAATGGCGGCCATACCCGATACTGACGGTTCTTTATGACATGATAACATGACAATGTGGTAAAAGCCGTTCAGTCTAACATCCCAGTTACCATTGTTTAATGTCAGTAAAAAAACTTACAAAAAGCCATATATCAGTTGTTGTTTGTTGCATTTGTTTTAGAACTTGAGCGCTGTGTTAGCTACCACGACCACAAGTAATTGGTACCTTGTTTTACATGAGACTGGTTGTCGCATTTCTTTTGGAGCTGAGTATATTTTGAGTCCGAAACCAGGCCTGTGAATGCTTTGAACGATGTTTTGGGTCGTTGTCCTGCTGGAAAATCCAAATATTTCCATAGAACACCTGAGCAGATGGAAGGAAATGTCCCTCGAGAATATCTGTGTACCGCTCACTGTTCATATTCCCTTCAAATACACAGAGGGGCATTGCCCCTAACACAGATATGCCACCCCACACGTTAAATTTCTGGACTGTACTTTGGGCGCTGATACAAAGGTTTTTCAGTTTGTTTGGTCCAGAATTTCAGTGTATTAAGAAACAGCCACACAGAACTTTCATCTGAGAAAATCACATTGTCCCAGTTAAAATTTCTATGCTGTAAGCACCAGTTCAACCTTCACTCCTTTTGTTCAGGTTTCATGATCGGTGATGGAATTCTTCAACTTTTCTGCCAACCCATTGCATGCAGCTCAGTTCTAATTGTCTCCTTACAGACAGCCACAGTTCCTCTATCAATCATATCCAGCCTTAAGTTTTCTAAACTCCTTCGCTTGTTTTTAGAAACAAGAATACCAAATCGCCTCCTGTCACCGACAGTCAATTTTCTGGGCCTACCTGCACCTCCCTGGTGCTCAATGCCATATCCATTTGCAATATTTTTTAAAACACAATAAACAGTGGACAAAGGGATGCCTGTTCTACTTGAAATCACTTTAGCTGATCTGATGTCCTTGTTATAATACTCTAAAATCAACTTCCTCTTCTCTAAATCGTCCATACTGAGGATCACTGAAAATGTTGTCTGCTAGCACGTAAACAAAGGGGGATAACTCTTCACAAACTCACGTAAACAAAGGGGGATAACTCTTCACAAACTAATGAAAAAGGATCAACAGAGTTGTCTGTCTTGAATGAAACCAACCACTTGATAGCTGGTGAAGGTTGTTTATACTAGAAATCCAATTAAACATATTCCTAAAATTCGCAATAATTTCTGGTCATACTATACATTCCCTTTTGTGGACCTAATATATACTTGATAGATAAATTAATAATGAATAAAAAAAGATCTGATACCATCTTTATAGTTCTGCTTCAATGCCCTCTATACAAACAACATCTGCATAATGAATTGTTTTATGAAGAAAACAAGAACAGAATAGGACATATGACTCATCCTTGGCATATACCAGTATTAGGGATCAACCAACTGATATTTTGTGGGAGGGGGTAGCATTATATCATAAAAAAAATTAATTGTCTCAGAATGTTTTTTTAAATAACTATGCTTC